GCTACGGCCACTTTCCAGAGTATTTCTGTAAAAGGGGATTGGTCTCATCTAACCTCTGTTATGTGCGGTGAAGCTGATACTCCAGACCATTACATAACAGCATGCCCACTCAGAGACATGGCACATGCGGCTACCAGTTGATGACGCACCATCCATGCGCTTCTTCATTAAGCAGCCTGCTCTGCTCAAAAAACTAAAACTCATAATAGAAAAACTGCACGCTTTGAGACAGGATCTTTATCATGTCACCTAGTGCACTACAGATTCCTACCCAGTCTCCAGTACTGACTGCCTTATTCCCGAGTTCCTCGTTGTATGGTAGTAGTGATTTTGCGCGGCATGTGAGTGCGCTATTTAGTGTGGTATGATGGTGCCCAGTACATGAACACTCAAAAGTAACCAAACCATGCAAAGCTACTGTATATGTAGAATATAGCAGGGTAACTTACGTGTGTTTATGTATATATATATGCATCATTGTAGAACTGACTGTAACCAAGAGTGAATTGTTTAATTATTAGTGTGGAATATTTATGTACGTGCAATTACGTACGCATGTGCAAAACAAATATTATTGTAACAATTTATTCCCAGTGTTTAAACCTAGGTGCACATAAAATGCACCACGTTATTGTTTAATTATTAATGTATAATATTTATGCAACAGCTGCATGTGCATTAGTGCACAATTATTGTATTGTAAATTGCAATTATTGTAAAATATTTAAATATCAGTTTAAAATGCTCAAATTTCAATATACAGCACCAACAAAAGTTTCTGTTAAGCTCCTGACGCCGGGCTTCTGGGGCGCCAAAGAATTATTGCGTTGTATAGTCGCGGATTCTGGACGATACCCGAATAGTCCTAGTTAGCCGCCCCGAGTGTCCGGATCCGCTCTCACCTGTCACCTGTATTTATGAATGACGGATGTTTTTTCGTTTTGTTAAACGTTTATGCAATTCTTCCAATGAGTATTTGTAACGTGGATAGGATAATTCATGACTAGCGCTGTCTCATGAAGGAAGAAAGTAAGAGGAGAGGTCCTTACAGGTTTTTCCCATGCACTCCCCTTGTGGAGACCAAAACATTCAGTGATTTGCCATTAAAAACCAATAGTTTTGACAGGATCGGAGACAAATATTTTATAATTACGTCGTAAATGTATGTAGAAATGTATATATTTTCTTTTCCTACTATATTTCAGAGTTCTAAGTATGTGTAAGAATGTATAAACATTTCATTCTGAACAAAATGAAAACGTTATATTTTCCCCAGAACAGTTTTAATTTGAATGAAATATTTTCATAAATTTTCGTTAATTAGATTAGAAAGAAATTTTAAGGTAATTCGATTTCATCTGGTTAACGAATACAGAAATTACAATCAAAGTTTATTTTATTATTATTAAAATTATGCATTATTTCTTTACTAAGCTTCTATGAAATACTTTCTCAAATACGAGATGAGGCTAATCTTTGGAATATGGTAACAGGTAGTTTGGCGACATTTTGGTAAGGCGATAAAGGTTACTAGCTAGGACTTTAGCAGTGTACATGGATAAAGTCAAGAGCGTGCGCAATGCCATTTTTGTGCAATTCTGGGATTTTTTTTTAAGTGAAAATAGGTCGATGTGTACATGGATACCGTGTATGTGCAATTCTTAAAAACGCGGCAAGCAGTTTGCGATTCTGCACTTTCTCCCAATTTCGCACCTAATCTTCGTCATGATTAAGCACTTTTGTTCCATAAAAGTTCTAGCATAAGCGTAATTCGGCTAGCAGATTGTTGGAAAAAAATGTTGAGTAAAAAAAAACACACACTTTACTTCTTGAAAACAAAATGGCGTCCATACAAATATTAGCAGGTTGCTGTAGCAGGGTTGGTCGCCAAAGTTTCGCCAAAAATCGCCAAGTTACCATAATTTAAAGATTAACTCGAGATGATTTTTAGCTTTTGAAGTGTATTTTAAATCAAAAACACTTTATAATTACTGGTCTGTTAGATTCATTTGAAACAGAGTACATTTTATTTTTATAGTGAAGACGTTAAATATTGCTGCTGATTTCCACGTACCAGATTTCCATGTTCCTTTTTATGAATATTCCTGAAAGCGATAAAAAAGATGAGTTTTTTTACTATTTAAAAGTTGTAACTGAATTATTTTATAAAATTTAAAATAATTTTAATACTTATCAATTTTTTTACCTTTAATTTCAACAACACACATTCTAAAAATTCTACTTTACTACTGCCTTCTCTTAAGACACATCTCATAGATTGTGCTTTACAACACCTTTTTATAGATTGTTTTCCAGTACAAACAATTCTTGCTTAAATAGTTTTATAAATATATTTTCCAACAGAAATTTTGTTATAGTGCTGTTATGTTTATGTCTGTTTATGTCTACAATTAAATATTAAGATTATTATATATTTAGGTAATATTTATAAAATGATTATAAATTTGGATATATCTAATAACCAGACTCCTTGACAGTAACATTTACAGGAGTTTATGAATAAATATTTCATTTCCAAATAAATATGTATTTTAAAGGCAAATACATGCGTTTTACAAGGATATACAAAATACCCATATATATTTAATATTTTTCATTTTCGGTTTGTACAAATCTTTACTTAAAAAATATAGTGGCTGCACAGTTAGTTATTAAAGTAATTTACAATAATTTAGCATACATCAGAATTTTTTATGCAAGAAATGTGTACACATATAAATTTAATGAAAATTACATGCATTATTTTTAATACTCACTCAAAGGTCAGTTTTCATCCACGAAGGCATCTCTCCCCTTAGGCAGATCTCGCATGGTTTACCTTATTTTAAAAACATAACTGACATATGTGCCTAATTACGAATATTTTAACATACATAATTTTATATTTACATTTAAACATAAAGTTTCAAACTTTTGATTTAAAAAATGTTTTTGGATATATTCATTTCAAAATTCAAATTTTTTAAAAAATACAGTTTCGGAGAGCATTCAATACTATTGTTAGCAAATTTACGCAATTTAATAGTTCCCTGATAATATAATAAATAACTGTCCGTTTCACATTTAAACAAACTCATTGGCATGAAATCGTAATCTTGATTGCCTTACTCTGCATAACAAAATTGCTTCCTTTTTTGAAACAGTTAAAACAATTAATTGATCTAAACTCACAAATACCTGAAATTAGAATATCTTAAGGTAATCCAAATTATAACAATATGCAAAATGCATTGTTACATGGTATTATCTTCGATGATATACCGGTTAAAGACGTTGACATCCCCCTATTTTCAAATTCCTAATAAGCTGTGAGGTCACCATCACCCTGACCCCACATAGCACTTTAGCCGAACTGGGAAATGTTTCTGTATACAATGCTTCAAATATGTAGTCACAAATGAAGAAAAAGTTAACTTATTAGCATATCTGTCTATACATGTATTAATTTAAACAAGGATTACAGGATTTGGAGTTAATTTCCTTTTTCGGTTAAGATAAATAAATCGAAAGTTTCACAATGGTTTTTCAATTATATAAAAATAAAACGAGCTTAAAATAACTGTTATGCCTCTTGCTTAAATATTTTTAAAAACTCCATGTTACAGTATAATGTGGAGGATGAAAATGTTTATTTAAAACAGTTTGATATAAGAGTAGCAAATACAATATGAAGCGCATCGAAAGAAGTATACAAATTTTCACGCACCAGTTAGTTATAAGGCAATTGAGGTGTTATATTTTTGAGATATTTAGACATTTTAAAGGCACCTTAAGGTATTTATCATTTACACTAACGTAACCAATTTTGTTAAAATTTGTATTTTTGTCGTCCAACAGCTTGGAATTTTATAAAAATAACACATTACCAGAATCGCTGTTGCAAGTTCTCGAAAAAATAACCAAGGCGAAATTTTTGCGTAAATGCCACCTGCAACAACCATCCAACAACGAAAGAGTCTTTTTTTCGAAAGTTTCCCCGCCTTTCGATTTGTGCGGAACTGTTGTAGGTGGAAGAACCACAAAACCACTGTCAACATGTTCTGAATATAGATAAAGTACACCCGTTTAGGAGTCCAAAGCTCGGCAACACTGCGTCAGGCGCAGTGCGGGGATGGAGTCTCTTTTTAGTCTTACCTCCATAGGCTATCTATAGCATCGAGGTCCATGATCTGTAGAGATGGATTTCTTTCACGGAGGTCTTCGAGAGAAACTGGTTCATATTTGTTTCAGATAACAAAAGGCTTACTTAGTTTGGTAAAATGAATGTCCTCATTAAGCCGCTTTTGCAGCAGTCTGAACAGAAGCCAGGGTGCTACTTAACATTAGTCAACCTTCAGCTACTCAAACATTAATCAGCAGGACATTTTTTAAATTACGTACGTTTTCACTAGGTGAAAGAATTGTACTATTCCAGACATTGAATATGTATTAACCCTGACTCCAATCAAGTAATTATTATTCTGCTTGTTTCGCACGACTTGATGTGTTATGTTTACGGTTTGCATACAAACGAGTTTATCTTCTAACGTCAAAATTGAATTTATACGGATTTCTTTCAACACTAATGATAAATACAAACAATATTCCATAAATATGAACCAAGACAAAATATATTTTATTTTTAGGATAAAAACATTCTGAAATTACTTGATTGCATTGTCTAGCAAATGTCATGCAAAATGAAGTCGCATCTTTTCCCTACATATGTTCTTCCACTTTGAGCGAGTCAAAGTTAAAGATACTTCATGGAACTTTCAACCATTCCGTTATAAAAAGACTTAATATATAATGTTAACTTTCCTTAGTGTGCACTAATTAATGTGATATACTAGACTACTGAGAAACGCAGATAAATCCAATTTTTAATGCGCGACTTGGCCGACACATTGATTTATAACTTAAAATATGTTTGATTTAACCAGACACATGAAGTCGCATGTTTTCCTACACTTGAAGAAAGAAGGTCACAAGAGAAAAAATACGTTAACAATGTTTTATTTAGTAAACAATAACAGTTCAAAAGATGATGCTTAATATAAGTTAAATAAAATCATCCGCGAAAATGGTCATACAATATCGGAATACGTAACTTAAAAATAAATTCTATTTACAAATCTTGTTAAAAGAACTGTACGGGTCCAGGTTTATACGCCTTCATCCAAAGATCCTGAAAAGAAAAGTAAGATTGAAATTACCAAAAGATAAAAAAATCTTTAAACTTAAGACTTTGAAATTTCAATTTAATGCATTTAATGCGTGTACTATGGATACAAATTCGTCGGATATAAATCCATCTTTTTGAAACAAACTGAGGCAGAATTGTTTCGGATAGCGCTACTTTTCGGTTATTTTTAATAAAGAAATATGTTTTTGTATGCCTTATTTTCTACGGTAATATATTTTAAATAATCGTGGGTTAAAAAAATCCTAGTTCAAAAAGATTTAAATTGAAATAAAGATATAATACAGTTTTCTAGTTACAAATTCATACAATACCTATATCTTCTGTCACAACGTTTTTAAATATTAACAAATTATCCTAAAATAAAGCCGGAATAAGGTATGAGAATTAATACTTTATTCTAAATATATTATTGAAAAATATTAAGCATAAAAACAAGAAATTAGTAGTTAAACTTTTATTGTTCAATGAGCAATCTTAAACTTTCCAGCTTCAAAAATCCTCTGTTGAAGAACTTGCAGTTTATTAATAAATCCTTTGCAGACTGAAAATTTTATTCTATGAACTGAAAATTTATTAATTTATTAAATAAACCTGCAATTTACTAAACTTTATACTTCTCTTTTTGGCAACTTATTGACTTTAAGAGAATTCTGAACAAGAAATAAATTAAACCGACATAATACAACAAAGGTCTAAAAAATGGCTCCGGATTAGTTGTTCAACAATCAACTCATACTATATAAAGTACACTGACATTTATAAGGAAGGTAAGATATAAGGAAATATTGTATAAAAAATGAAATTTTAGCGTGGAATGGATTTTCAGATTCTGACAAGACGAAGTCTATAAAGGAAGATAACGACTTAGATCAATAATAATCTATCACCTGTGGGTAATTTAGTGTGTGCCGTGTTTGTAACCTATAACAGAGAACCTAATCCAGCTGTAAAACCATTTGTAGTCAGTTTCGTGGGCTGCTTCCCATAAAAACCTGCGTTTATTTTTTAAGTGTCTAATTCTAATAATTGAACAATGGAATTCAACTAAGAAATAACTGCAGCGAGCGACCATTAAACGTTTCAAACCAAGGTACAGAAAAATTGCGCCTTCAGTGGGATTGCAACCACAGATAGTCCATGTACCAGCTCGATATGCTAAGAATTTATAACAAGATGTATGAATGAGGATATGCAATAAGTCTAACATAAAATTCTATTATATATTTGGAGACTAGGAACATGCCTGAAATCTAGTAGACCAAATCCAGGAGATTACGAACAATATATAGTACACCATAATTGTTCGTTAGGATTCATCTGTGAAAACTTAGCTTGAAATATGTTTGTTAGTTATGATCCATCTGTGAAGCAGGAAACATGAGAAATCAACTAAGCCCTCACAGGAATTTGAGTCATGGATTCTCTATTTTTTTTGGGGGGGGGATATAACTGTTTACTATATGAAAACATCGACGGAAAAATCTTTGCAATTCATTTGATGTTATTTTTCTCCGTTTCGATTATGCCAGATTTCAGTAGAATCGATTTTTAATGTATTTAAATGATTAAAATAAAAGTAAATGTCTATCAAGTAACAACTTTAAAGAACTAAATATATAATTTATTACTGCCATCACTAGTCTCCCTAAATTATGGCATTTCCTGTTTTAAGTGATGTAAACCAGCAGAGTACTTGCTGGAATTTTCCTCGTAAAAAGAATTTTTTACCCGAATTTGAAAGTTCTCATGTTATATTCAATCTTATTCATGATAGTTTACGTATTGTTTTGCATTAGAAGATGGAATCATCAAATGGTTTTACCCTAAATAATCTTTGTAAATGGGGATTTTACCTGAATAACGAAAACGATTACGGAAATTTATTATACAGCTGTCTGCTTTTACAGCAAAATTTTTCAGGACATTTTCTAAACTGTTACCCTGATTGTTTGAAGACAAAGCAAACGTAGGCTATTTTCCAGACAGTGATAACTTCGTGGGCCATATTTTACAAACTTTAAATGAATTGGTGATCATTTACATTTATACATAGCAAGATGACATTTTTTGTACTATAGAATCGGAAGACAAATTTAAAGAAGGTTTCGAGTTTTCCAAGCCTGGTCAATAGTGAGATTAATAAAGAAGTTTTAATAGAGTCCAATAAATCGATAAATTTTACCTTAAGTTTTGAGGTATGAAGGTTTTCAATATGCAGTTGTTGCTCTGTTCATTGAAAAAACGGTTTCTTGAACAACAGCCACGGAGGACTTTATGGTTATGGCATTTGTAGAAACAGCTGTCATTGGCGGGGTCTTGCATTTGTCCTTTACCTTTCCGGTGACATGTTTCGGCCATGCTTTTGAGACTATATACTTCTCCATCTCCTAAAAAATAAAATAACCACTATATTACTGTACTAAAAGTATGTCAAAAGTAAAACTTTTTAAACTCGGTAGAAAATGAAAAATGATTTTCAGAACTATCGATGATTGATTTATTTAAGAAATCACTGTAAAAAGGATAGTTTTATCCATCTCTGTATAAAAATGCGTATATAGGTAAAGCTTGCTGCAGCTGAAATGAATCGTGAGGCTATAGTTTACTGGTAACTAAAAAATTGTATACTTCGAATTATCTTTCCATTTTTTTTCACTGCTTGATGAGTTGGCAGATATTTCCTCTCGAAAATTTAATTAAGTTTGCATTCCGATAATTGTATAAAAAATTCTTGAAGGTATTGAATTCACCTCGATAAAGTGAAGATTATTTTTTATGTGCATAGCTGAGTTTTAAATAGAAACGGTATATAGAAATATTAGTTAATTTTGAAGATTAGGTTACACTGTTAACTTAAAACACTTTTTTAATTCAAAAATAAAATTAAACTAGAAAAGAAAATGAACGAGATATAAAGTACAAACCTTTCAGTGATTTTTATTTAGTACTTCATAAGTCTACTTTTCTTATTTCATAAATGAATCATAGTAAAGGAAACGGATAAAAAAGATAAAATAGTTGTGAAGCATACATAGCTGTTTACAGGAAAGGTGCGGATAAAATCTTGTGTAATTCGGCTATTCTGCAAATAAGAAAAATCCGGATGACCAATGTTTGTCTTATTAATCTAGCTACTGGCGAACTTGTAGAGATTGTCTAGCATATGATAAAATTTGAAACATTTTATTTAATATATTGAGAAATATTGCTTAAAGACGGAATACTTGTGCATGGATATTTGGAACTGTTGTTTCAATTCTTTTGAATCATAAGTTTTCGTTAATAAACTAGTGATTGGCAGTAGACGTATTATGCAAACTAAGCTGTAAAATTTAATAGCGAGAATTAATTCCAAATAAAGGTAAAGCAGTGTAATATTGGCTAATTTATAACGTAAAGTCAACGAAAGGAGTGAATTTAATCAAGAAATTGTTCTCAATTACTTTACCGATTAAAGATTGCATGAAACTAATTAGAGAGAAGTACGAAAGTATCAGAAAAGTAAAATTGAACATTACACATTTATACATTAGCATTTTGTTTTTCCGCATTAAATATAATAAACAAAAAGTTAAAGATTTCGAAATTCGAAATTAAAAATTTATATTCAAACTTAATACAAATCACATTTGCCAGCAATTTATAATTTTTTGGCTCTTAACAACCACGATAAATTTAAGTCACTGCTTTCTTTTTCATAAAATGTCAATATCGCTAAAAATGTTTATATGTCAAAAGGGCCCCGATTTTCATTCCGCGTTCTAATCTTTCAACGCAGCTGTTGGTAGTAATATGTAGAGCCGAAAACTGAAATAAAAGATATTTAATATGCTGGGTTAAGAACTTTTTTTATGTTAGCAAATAATACTATATGAAAGCTTTGTCAGTGTCACTATGAATTTGATTAGTTCCAGTTGTGACTTAATAGCAGCGTCACTGACTTCTGTTCCAGATCGATCTGAAAGTAATTACTTCCAAGTACTATGAAATTCCGTTTTTAAAATTCCTTACAAAGTTTTTCAATCAATTCGATTTAAATTGCTTTATTACCCGATCTAGCTAATTGAAGGAAATTTCTGTCTCGGGAACTTTCATAGGATAGGTTTTTGTCTGCAGATAGGCTTGCTAAATAACCAGCTTTATTCACAACCAGGTGCTTCAGAACCATCTTAATTTGTGTACTTATTGTTGGATCATTCATATAGCCTACCGATAAATTGATTCATTTGTCTTGATTTCGCGTTTACGTCTCCAAGGAGTTCACTGCGATGTCTAGTAAAATGGATCACCCAGTCTCTTCACGCTTCAATATTTCATATTTCTCTAATCGTCAAATTACTCTTCAAATTTTGAATCAAAAACGTCAAATGTTTCGTTGACACTCTTATTTTTATTAGGGAAAAGGTAGCATGTTCTGTTTGCAGCACGTTTCTTCACTTCTGAAGATTTCCCTTTTCTTACAAGCTTTACTTCTGCTTTTAAACCTATAGAAATCAGCGGGCTCTACTGAAACCTGACAATGAATTAGCTTTCTGACATTTTTGCTAAACTAGCTAGTTTTGCCAAACTACTTAATTCAGCATAGTAATCCATATGCTGTATTAGCTTGCTGTTGAAATGTATGCTGCTGAACCACATGCTGGACTAGCTTGTTGAACTTAGCATGCTGAACTAACTTGGACTTCCACGTTTGTATATAATTTTTTTAAGATTAACTTATGCTGCTTTAGCCTTCAGAATGCTACTTATTAATTTTAATCTTCTAAAAAATCTCTTTATATATTATTAACTTTCAATTTCTAAAAATTCTTTAAGTATCTAACATAGTCATGTAAAATTTGGAGAAAAATTGTTTCCTTAGCGTGGCTTAAAACTTTATAAAAATTTCATAATATCGCAGCTTCACGTTTTTTGAGTTAATCTTTAGCCCAAAAATCTATTTTTCTCCAAATTTGAAAAAGCGTTCGTAATTAAACTCATACTGGTGGGTTATTTATTCATGGCAAAATATGCGTGAGATCTTATCTACGGGTTGGTGGATTGCATTTGTTATAAATGAGAAAAAACTGCTAAATTCCTTTGAAGCCAGGAGTAAGAAGTTAGCATTTTGCGAATTTAATCATTCGAACCTTTGCAGTTGCTGATTAGGGTAATTATTCCAACATACATATCTGAAAATAAGCTTTGCACTTCTAGAATGTTAGAGTATTCAATCAGTCCTTTAGATTCAGTTATCAAAATCTAAACATTTTTTACCATTCACGTCAAAAGCACATCTGTAGGACTAAATAACTTAAAATTTTCTCTTGTATGATTCGTTTTTTTGCTAAAATTCTATTTAAAATTTATGAGTAAGTACTCTACGTTGTTAAAAAACTTTTAAAGACAAATTATCTACATGCAACAAATAAGCTGTATAAGAAGTAAAAAATTAATTCAGTCTTAACTAAGGGCTTTTTCAAAATTAATTTATAAATTAAAATATGATATCTTATCACATTACCATTGACAGAGTAATTGATAAGATCACATCGTGACTGATCAGAAATCAGACAAGTTCCTTGTATTATCATATCACCATTGATAATTTACATTGAATGTATTGTGGTGTTACACATTTGTTGTAAAATTTGGTTTTAAATGTTTATTGCTGAACACACTTTGGCATGAAAAATAATAAAATCTACATAATTAGAAATCCTGTGTATTTATACACCCTTTGCACCATCATAGTTCTTCTGTTTACAGGAAGAGCATTATAATTAAAATCTTTAAAAAGGAAATTCTTCATTAATCTATGAATCAAAAGAAAGATAAGAAAAATTACTGCCTTTTTATTTTTGAACTAAGTACTTTTGGAAGAGGAAGTAAGTTTTTATGACCTTAAACACTATGGAGTCTAAGTATAAAAGATATAAACAAGATCAAAATATTTTAGAAATATAGTAAGCAGTTAGAACACTAATATATTTGCATTAATCGAACTATCTTTAGTAAAAGAGTAAAGGCAAAATTTATCTGAATCGAAAATGAATACTTTTATTGTACACAACTGATATCAAATCAGAACTATGCCTTGAAGTAATATTTCTTTGTAATTTATAATGATGTAAGTCACGCACATTTTAATCTCCATCTACAAATGCTCAGGGGAAAAAAAACCTTGCACTAAACAACCATTACTCAATTATATTGCTGCAAGCCTTTGGTAACTGCGATATTAAGAAATTCTTTCTCCCAAACATTCGCGATATCCTTCAGTCGTCAATTTGTAATTCGAGCTGTGTTCGTTTGCGCCCACTGCAATGGGATTTGAGATTGTTGATGACCATCAAAAGGTTAAATCACCTCTAGAATTTAATATTCTAGGGCGAAAGTGTACATGTATCAATGGACTTAGAATTTATAAGATTATTTTCATCAGTTTTTTTACGGCTATGTAAAGTACGACTTATATAAAGTAAATGCACTTTCGAAATTATACTGCCACATGACTATTAGGAAAGAGTCATTCATATTTAAATCCCCTTAAAACAATAGAATATTGAACATTCAGAGAACTTCGTTATGCAAGATATATATCATAGCTAAGCTAAATATTTAGCAAATGAGCACTTGAAATTTATATTATGCACATCTAGGCATAATTCTGAATATTCGTAGAACTGAAGAAGGGGAAAAGACTTTCAGAAATTTATAATTAATAATTAGTACTTACGTTTCAAGCAATTGACATTTTCAGCCGTGTCGCACATGCGAGTAATACTGTTGAAAAATAAGCCATTTGGACAACGTTTTGGGCATGGCGATCCGGTAGAACAATCGTAAAACATATCACAGTGGGGATGGGCAACATGAGTTTTGTTTTGTGGACACAGAATTTGGCGATCATATCGACGACAACGTCTCCGGTAATGTTGCTGATGAGATCCACCTAGAGAAAATATTGAAATTAGCCTGTAATATTTAAGATCAAAAGATATTTTTAACAGTGTCAATGCTTCGAAAAATCTCAACACAGTTTGCATACGATTTACAATATGTCATTGAATGAAATGCAGTTGAAAGTCACACTCCGAAGAATACCGATACCAAATAATTAAAGTTTTCTGCTAACAAAAGGGATGGTTTTCAGAACATTAGAGTCTAACGGTAGAAAGAGTTCAGCGTTTTCTCAAACAAAAATGATGGCTATGAAAGTTCCAGTCTAATGCTAAAATTGAATTTTATAATCTAAAAAAATTAGTGTTTCAAAAACATATCAAAGATAGAAACAATAATCGCGATACTGCAAAAAGGCAACTTGCATATGGTTAAGGGCGAAATAGAATCGTCAAACTAGTGTTTGGTTTTCCTAGGAGACTTTGTAAGGACATTAAAAATTAAGGGTAATCCATCTCTGAGCTGAAAAGATCACACAGAATTACTATAATTTTCCTATGTGCAAGATCTGGCAGTCTGTTGGGTACATGACTAAGGCTCAGCAGCAGAGTGTTCATGGACATATACCAATCGTGCAAGTTAGGTTGTTTGAGGGAGGGCTATCTAAGGGAAGGGATACCGTCGTGGAGGATTTCTTAGAGAAATTTAAATACTATATTCGTTACACATCGGGAAACCAGAAAAACAAAACACGAAGCCAGCCTGTTCACACTGGATCGCACTCTGGTCGGACTCATAGTTTTAAGCGGTCTTAAGTACTCGGTCACTAATGCGGCATGATACTTGGGCAGGAATAAAAAGTTGGACAGTTGCTGTGTCATTTAAAATTAAATATCAAGTTTACTTATCTTGGTTTCTCTATAAATACAATATGGAGGTCAGAGTTCTTTTATGAACACAGTCTCTTAATATACATTCATGCAGTCAAACATACTTACACTTTACATTTTTCTGCCAATCGCAAGTTTGGTACAATGGATTATAAGACAAATCATCAGAACATTCTTTAAGATGAGGAGTTCCAAAGCTGCAATGATAAAATTTTGAACAACTTGTCTCGTGAGGAAAGTAGCCAAATTTTTCGGGGCATGTCCATTTTTCTTGAAATAACTCTTCATCAATTTCTTCTGCTCGACTAGAAAATTCGGGCTTAGCTGAAACTGAAAATGTTAGAAAAATTAAGAGACCGCAACAGAAAGTATAATAAGTGTTTAAAACTACGTCACTTAAGTTTTGCTTGACGAGTAAAAGCTTAAAATTGAATACTTTTTGTGGTAAATAATACACAGTAGATTTAATATGCTTCAAAACGCTTTTAATGGAACGTTCAGAAAAGTAAATAAAAAGTTGCAAATTTTTCTTCAGCCAATGAAATAGGAAGAATAACCAATACACTGAACCTGAGATTGAAATTATATAGAAATTTCTTCCATTAAAAGGAAATTAACGAAGATAATGAACAGCAGCAAATTATCGTTGCTAAAACATTTGGACAATGTTTTGGAAATTACAAGTAAGTGATTATTTGGTTCATTTAAGTTTCGAAAATAGCTGCTGTTTGTATGGAAGATTAATCAAGCATTCACAAAATCAAAATACTCTAACAGATACGTAACATTATAAAAATGGAAAAGAAAATTTAGATAATTTTTTATTGTATTCTTATGGTAGATAAAAGAATACTTGATTGCTAGGGATATTAAAGAGGAAAATACATTATTCTTACCACATTTTCCAGATGGCCATTCACACCGCAACGTCCTAGGGTCAAATTCAAGTTCTCCTGGACACGTTTTTATATAAGGAATTCCATTTGAACAATGGACGAATTTGTGGCAGTCATCTTTGTACAGAAAGAGCCCATTAGTTCTAGGGCACATTTGACTATAAGGACAATCCACTTTGTGTGCCCAGTCACAGCGCTGTCGCTGATGATCAAATGTCTGTCCTCTTGGGCAATTCTTGCGTTTAGATATACCGTTTGTGCATTCGATGTATTTGGTGCAGGATTCTGGATTCGACACACGGCAGTTTTTACAAGGGCACAAAGGATCCGGAGTCGTAGATGGAAGACGAAGTGGAGTGGGTGTTTGTTGAGCGGCTACGCAAGCTAAAATGAAATAATGCGAATTTCACTCAGATAAGTAATGCAGCGCGATAAAATTTATACTAATTTAGTTAAAATATTAGTTAATTAAAAAGTATTCATATGATTTCAATTTTCTGATTACCATTCAAGAAAATTGCATACTGTTTTAAGACAATTCTAAATACTTTACTAATGATTTAAAGACTTCGAAAAACATATACATCTCATAATTTAAGGCTTTAAATATATCAAAACTGAAAAATATTAACTCTTCACGGAACTGCATGTAGTGGCATACATCTGCTGCAGCTCAGATTAGTTCAGTTTTAGGAAATTAACTTTCCTGAAATCCTTATAGTTTATGCCTAAGTAAATAAACTATAATTTCTAAAATATTGCATGTGCTTGTGCGAAATAAATTGAAACTTATTACATATTTAATATCGGTTTATGATTAGATAGAATATACGAATACATTCATTTTAATATATAAATTATATAAATCCCGATGAATGAATGAAAATACGAGAGTAAATTCTAAATGTACTTCTGTTTGTGAAAACTACAAGACTATGAAATCATCAGAACTGAATAAAATTTATTCCACATATGGCCTGCAGTGATACAAAGAAACACTAAAATGTATAGTACTGTATAGGAATATTAACCTCCGAAAATCAGTAAAGTCATCGAACACTGCAATAAGTGCTCATACGCATTATGTCACTAAATCAAAAAGAAAATGAATGCGTAGCTGAAGAACAGTAATCTGTCAGTCACGCTGCTTCTGTCCGAGTGTGCATAGTTGATCTAGATTAGCTGTGGAACGAGTGTCATGAACGAGTTGCTGGTCTACGAAATTCAGGCTATGGACATCAGGCGACATGTCGAGTGACACATTAATAGAGAAGTAGTAACTAATATGCCGAGAAAATTCTTAAACGCATGTACGAATATGGGAATGGGCCTCTTAAAATACACCTACAGGAATACACTGAATGTAGGATATAAATTCTAGACTTCATAACCTTCTTGATTATTGCTAGATGAAATCGTCCATAATACTCAGTGGTATTCCCGCCCATCATGCTTAGCGATCATACAGTGGTAACCCTGCATGGTACATTCCATTAGCGTTCACACCTATGTTTCTAACCCATTCAACAATATTTATACTCCAAATGTAACCAATGTAATGGAATTAAATGCAAAAGATGATCGGAGGTGGCGATCGAATTGTGTTAAATGAACTATGCGCAAAACCAGTGCATGCGCTCTAATAAGACATGACAGACGTCTGAAATATGTTCGAGTAGCGCACTTGTAGCACTGATCTAACATTGTGCCAGTTGAAATGAAGCTGCGTGATCTGTCACCGAGATGCAACTGAAACCCCCCCCCAGATGGGATAGTGGTTAATGACACGACTGCCGTACCACAGGGTCCGGGTTCAAATCCCGGAGATGGCATGTATATTTGTAAGCATATGACATTTGTGTGGCAAGAGAACACTCAGTATACGTGGCGAGTCGAAATTCCCTCTCGACGTTGCTGATAGGCGAAGAGGAGTGGGAGACTGTCAGATCTCACCAGGAGGATATCTAATATGCCTAAATGGATGCAAAGGTCCATTTAGGCATATTAGATATTAGTCTGATTAGTCTGATTGATTAGTCTGATTTCATGCTGATATAAAATTTGACCGTTTACTACCAGGTTTTCGACTTATCCGGTTCTCTTGAACACAGTTTCCGCAGACGTATTATTAACGAAGCGCTATGACTCACAGATACTACGTGTTAATAACAGTGAAAACCCCGTTCCCGCATGACAAGAATTCCACTATGTTCGAATAACGAAACTTGCTTATACCAATTCCCTCCGTCTTCGACGACACAGCGATTTCCAGTGAAATGTTTACCACTAGTGGTAAACGGAACACTATACTTTTAACATTGCTCTACAGTCCTTTATACTCTTAGCAGGACAAAGATAGCTATCAAACTTCATAAGTGAACCACATAAGCTTTCAACCCACTTTGAAATTCTAATCATTTACATAATAAACCCTGATTCGCATTTTCAGTATTTTCGTACACTTCCTTCACGGTGCTGTAAATTTCACAGATGGAAGTTATTTCTTTGCTTTTGCCATAATCATAGAATAATTAATTTTGAGAGTTTCACTTGGAATGTGCTGGAACGAATATGAATTCCTCGTAATGCTCCTAATGTAAATCATAACTATTGAAATTCATTTTAGATGAATTTATAAAATAATGCTGGTGTTCATGATTATATAAACTGAAGGACTCGGGTATACAGTTAATATTATCTGTATACTAAAATCTGAAACTGCTGTTTTAGAAACATGAAAAGACAGCTATCAACATCGTTCCCATAAAAATCCTCATTGGGCAATTATTTTCGCAACTCTTGGTCGTAGACATACAATAATAAAAAGTTGTAAGTGATGCAAAGTTTCTTTTTTCACTATTTTTTAACCCTAAAAATTAATGTATGAAACACGAAATTAACTTTTTACACGAACCTCCGGTCCCTATAATTATAAGAGGAAAATTTTGTAATTGGTAATATAGTCACATCCAACGATTGCGAAAATAAAGACCGCGTAAGGACTTCTGTGGAGACCATGTTTACAATCGCATAATATTCTAAAACGTGGAATAAAAACTATAGTATGAGAAATAAATACAGATGACTTAAATGGAGAGTGATGTTTGATTGTAAAATATAGGTTATAAAAACAAATAAAATTTTCATAAAAAGTTTTGTACAGTCGTTTGCTAAGCATTAATACTTACGCAAGGTTAGATCGCATTTCGCTTCGCACGGCCATTCACATCGTTGCAACTCAACGCTGAAGTGAAGACCACCTGGACAATCCTTGATATAAGGCCAATAGTTTGAGCAATGGATGAAGCGTCTACAGTTTGAAGGATCTCTAAACATTCCATTTCTTTCTGGACATTTGTAGCTTTGCGTAGTACTCGACGAAATAGCTGTTGTAGTTGTAGTCGAAGTGCGAGTAGTAGTAGTAGTAGTAGACGATGCTATATTGCAAAGTGTTTTCGACTGGTAATTGCAAGTGTTCAAAGATTGGTCGAATAAGAGACCATCCGAACATTCCATTGGGTATGCTTTGTAATTAAAGCAGAAATAATATGCCTTGCAGCTGCTCATTGATGGTACTAAACAGGTTTCACAAGGGCAGTCATGCCAATCATCCGATTCGGGAAGAGCCTTCACAGAGCTCCCTACAAACAAAAAACAAAAAAACAAAAAAAAACCAAGTTTTAACTGCCGCCAATTTTTATTTTCATTATCATTTTATAAAATGTACTTTTCTAAATGTTATTCATTTGCATATCCAAACGTTTAATACAACAAACGATTCAAACAATGAGCATGCAACTTACCAGAGGTGTGACAAATGTAAGCAATGGATGCATAAATGCAAATGCAATTTATTATTTTGATCCCGAGTTAATGTAGGAGGTGACATTTTTACACAAGTAATGAACCCTGAAGACAGCAGAGAAACAAGCCAGAGAAAAACATTAAATTAGGCAAAGCATTAACCTTGTTCCTGGCAAAGATTTGTGTCAAGACTATCGATTTACAGGATTAACAAATAAAAGTTCTTCACCAGGAGCAAAAATATCTGCAATAAATCTGTGAATTTTATGCTTATAATCAATGCTAGTCCGCATAATTTGGGGAAGCGATGAGTAGTGGTCTAGTAAAAAGTTCATCTTTCTTGAGAGACCTTAGCTCCGTTTTCATGATTTTGATCCTAAAAAAGAGCTGATCTCGGAAATTGCGAATTACCAAATTTTGAAATGAACCTAAGATATTTTGAGGTATTTAGTCAAGAATGAGAAAACACACTAATTACTTATCATGTAAAAAAATTATCTTCATTGTTGGAAGCCTAAAAGGCATATAAATCAAAAACAAGTTAAAAATGGAAACTGCAGTTAAGTATAAGACGAAAGGGCCATGTTAAATTGCAGCTCCTCATCCGACAGCAAACCATAACTTCACGAGGTCAACCGCTTTTTCTTAATTTATTCCTCAAAGTTCTGTTAATATTCCAGAACATCTTAAGGCTAATAATTAAAAACAAAAAATCTATTGTAGAAACTAATCTGCTTCAGGGCGGCTATAACAAAACAATGTCAACATGAAATTATAAAATCTAAAATGAATAAACAAAATCAGCTACAATAGCTGAAATTCTGAAAAATTATATTTAACCAAAAGTGTTTGAATCTTACTTGAAATAAATAAAAAATTATAACAGTTGTCCAAACCAAAATGTATTATGGTGGCAGTCAAGATTTTATTTTGAATTTTTGTTTATATATATTTGTCTCTTTAATTTAAACAAATAAAACGCTGCTCACCAGGACATTTTTGAAAATTACATAAATTAAAAAAACTATCGCAAATAAATATACTTCCTAATAGAAACAAATATTGGCGAATTTTTAGGCTTAGGCTAAAAATCTAGATAGGGAGCAGTGATTTATTTGCTTAAATTATATTATTTTTATAATCTCAGGTTCTTTAGTGCTTATTTTTAGGTAGGAAGGCCTTCCTAGCACTCAAAATATTTAAATATTTTATTATCCATTCATTCCATCTATCCATATCTATACACATGCTCAAAAATACACAAATACATATGCATAATTATAAATATACGTTACGAAAGTTACACAGCAGAATCATTTTGGTTCTTTATTAGTTGAATTTCGTGCATATGAGAATGAGAAGCATCAGCATTACCTATTTCACTTTTTGAAAAGAAAAGCTTTGGAAAGTTTATTTTTCAAAAATCGAACAGGAAGAAAAACTTAGTAATGAATTATCAAAATATTTTCCGTTACTCATTATTCAAATTTGATAATGCTGAATGAGGCATGAATTCCTGCCTTTGAAATAATGTTGACTTCTATTATGATAATGTGAATATGCTCTCATATTAGTCTATGAAATACGTTGCTTGTAATGTTGCATTTAAATCTGTATGAATAGTGATTAATATTAGAAGTGCTAAAACAATTCATGAAGTTTTCGTTTTGTTTTAAAGAAGGTTTTATTCTATTAAATCAGAGCTAAGAATTTTGGATAGCTTGGTCTAAGCTGGTAAGATATTACTACAGTATAACTACAGTATTTTAATACCACAATGATTTAAAAAATAAACCGCAATATTTTCACTTGATGTTTAATAAGGAAAACTAACGTGTTCAAGAAATCAGAGCTGAAATGAATTTTTGCTCGAGTCTCTATACTTTGCGTAATCTATTTTAATTAAGAAAAGCTCAATTACTTAACATATAACGTATTGACATTTAACTAACATAGGTACCTCTTGCTGAAGAGATTGTAGAAGGCTTATAACAGCACAGTTTTGACTTGAAACCAAGTGAAAAGAAAGGGGGATACTGGATATCTCAAGTACCTGAGATAACGCTGATGGTGGTTACTTCTTCAGGTATGGCCTTTCTAAAAGATCTCGGGGATCTCCTAGATTCCCTTCTTTGATTTATTTTTCTTCTAAATGTTTTCCGCATTCATTGAAACTAAAATTCAGATGCCTATGCGGTAAAAAGATCAGTTTTTCTTCTTAAATATCTTATGTCTATAAACCTGTCATGTTTGGTAAAACTGTCAACTAATAAGTAGCCCCACCGTTTATTCACCATTCTGAGAACGCGAATTGAATTATCGATATTTCTTAAAACCACGGAGTTCAAAAAATTCTTTCACGGCCTGGATCGTATTATTCCTCGGATTTCGCTGTGACACGTGGGTCATACATTGAGCAATACTGTTATCTTTTACTTTTACCTTGTACATAGTAATTTATTGTAATCCAATTAAATAGGAAAGAAATTAAATATTTAACACAATGAGTAACTTACCACATTCAGCATTTTCTGGCCAATCGCAGACTCTCGTCGTAGCATTGAATGTTAAGCCAACAGGACAACTTTGAATCCTGGGGAATCTGTCCACGCAGTCGAAGTAATAATCGCACTGTTCAAATACAGGGAAGAAATCCTTTTGTGGACATTTGATAAAAGGCACAGCTGAAGTTAAAATCGGTGGATTTGTGGAGGAACAATCTGAAAATTTATAATAAAACTAAAGGTAAATTATTAGTATAAATGAATTGCAATACTTCTCGATGTACAATTTACATCAATGCATCTCTTCCGACAGTTAAATTTGTTTATAATAAATTGATTTCTCCTAGTAAAAGTCAATACTGCTTAAAGCGCACATTTGTTATAACACCGTGTCCATAAAAGTTCTTATGCTGTCTTTGACAACCGTTAATCGTAAATACTTTCAGTTGTAAAAATGTTTTAAATGATGCAAATATTTCTATTTAGGCTTTTTTAAACTTGAAAAATGATTTTGTAAAAAATAAAGCAAGACTTTTGAACGGTGTCTCTGTTCCTTGTGGTTATATTTAATAACCTTCTATACTAGACCTTTGGCAGCCTATGACCCGCAAATAATCTGAAAATAAATAACAGTAACAATGCTTCATCACAAAGTTGCAGTAACAAATATGAGTTTTTAGTTTTAAAAGATAATTGTAATATAATTTGAAGGACTAAGTTTGGCAACACCGATCGATAATCCATAATTCTCAAAAATGGCTTTGCCATTGTGTTCGCTTTCAGTTCAATTTATAAATGCGAGCAAATATCTTCACACCTTAAACTTATTTTAGGTAAGAACAGGAGCAGCTTAACTATCGAAAGTTCAGATGCTTATATTAGTCTTAAGACGACTAACTATAAGCCCGACTTCACTAAATTGACGTCTCAAATCCTGCATCAGGACAGCCATTGATATCGAAAAAAAATTTCATTTTTTTATAAAAATGATCTGAATTTTAATTTTTATGCTTAAATCGTAGCGCATATTTTCAATAAAATTTATGTCATTAAGAATTATTATTGATCAATAAAAACCGTTCTAAAGTGGAAATACCACTGACCTGAAACGTCTGCTTAGTGCACACATTTTGGTTGATTTTGACCCGCAGCACAGTTTAAAAATAGGTTTACGATGCCTGGTTTGTAAGACTCTTTAGATGCAGAAGATGTTTGATACATTACGCTGCAGCCGACAGTTAAATTTCTAATTTGGATTTCTGCAATTTTATCATAATCTGATAAACAAGAATTCATTAAAGTATAAACTTTCGTTTTAAATTTATGCAAATATTGCGAATCTACTAAGCGCAAATTCTGAAGCTTACATTTTCCATAACATGAGTTTTGTATGACTAAAACATATCTGATAATATCTGCTGTATTGAATAAAACGTTTAACGACAATACTTATTAATACTCGTCATTTAACTCATTCGCAGTCGTTTCAGGAACTGATATTTCATTTTTTGTTACGGTGAAAATTTAAATATTTCACTTTTCATTTTGTGTAGGATCTCTGAATAGTCTCAGATTTTAAAATAGTGATTTTTTTTCGCATCGAATAAAACATTTAGAATGAGTTATGAGCTATTACTAAACATAACTATAGGGACCATGGAAACGTTAGTTACATTTCGTAATTTTTACAAATTAAAGTTTTAATTAAAAATGCCAAAACAAATATTTGCGCGATTTAAAAAAAATTCTAAGTTGGAAATATGTCTACAAGTAACAGTTGAGAAAATATTTATACTATTGTGGATATGATGTACACGTTCTGCAACTGAATTTTAACAATTACAAGAAATAAATTTGCATAAAAGTGTAATGACCAAGTCTTAAGACAAATTCGAAATTTATGCAGTCATCTACCACGACCAAGTGTTCTATTTTTACATAGATAATGAGAGCTATAGAGAGAAAAACAATAAACATATAAACCTTCAGAATGTTATTTTTGTTAATTATAAAACTTACCAAGTGTAGGATCACATTTTGCAATACAAGGAAATTCACAATGCTCTGTCAGTGGGCTGAAATGCAATTGCTCGTCACATTGAGTTTCATATGGTTCACCGCCTATACACATGATGAAAGACCTGCAGTCATTTGGGTTGGGATATAAACCATTTGGATCCTGACATATCGGCGATTCAGTCTTATTTATATCATACACTGTGGTAGACATAAAATTTGATGGCCCAGTTGCAGTGGTACTAAGGACGCTGATTGGAGAATTATTTGTCTCTTCAGATGATCCTGTGCTCGATATGTCAGATAAAGTGGTCTTGGCAATCTCTAGAGTTGTCTGAAAGGAAGTAAACTTTTCAGGTGATGTTAATAAAGTGGATATTTTGATTTCGGTGCTGTTATCATCTATTGCAGTCACTTCACTGACAATGGAAGTACTTGAAATCTCGTTATTGGATGCAGTTGAGCTTCTGTAACTTGTTGTTTCAGTCATAAGTGTCGTGCTGATATCATCAGAAGGGAAGAATTCTTCTGTTGTCACACTTGAAGGACTCTGCGTCATACCTGAGCAGTCTGTTTAAAAATGGAAAGTAATTTAATAAGCTTGTATTAGGCAACAATCAAGTTAATAAAACATTAAACGATGCCTAATTAGATTTGCTACAGTCCAAAAAACATGCGTTTTCGCTACTAACTTTACTTTTTGAGGGGGCCAAAATTTTTTCTATTCAATAAAATTTCTAAATATGTAATATTACAGCCAAGTTTTTGGAACATTTACATGTTCTTCGTATAGCAAATAATCGACGTTTTTACTGTTAAATCAAAATACTGCATATGCATCTTCATCATATATATAAGTTTTTCCATATAAATGCTCTAATGCAAAAATCAGTTCCTGAATTTTCCTTCTAGTAAAACCACCAGTATTTAGGTCAAGAGAGATGATCAATTTTGGGAAGGGAAACTAGGAGATATAGTTGTTTAAGCAAGATCACATGAAACCTGATTTTAAATAGCAATTAATTTTCTTGTTCCGGGTACCGTGACTTGAGAAAATTAGAAAAACTTCGTATGAGGAGGATTAATAAACTTCATTCAACATTAATAGTTATATTTGGATCTTAATTTGCGAAAACGACCTTTAAAATAAATTTCTTAAGCATACTCGGCTTTTATAAATACTACTAAATTTTAAGAAATCAATTAAAATAGTAAATTTTTACTTTTAAAGTTAAATATAAAAACTTTACATATCAATTGATTCGAGACAAATGGTGCTTCAACCATATTCTAATTGCAGTGAAAATTCCATGAAACTAATCAATAGCATGATATTTGTTTCCCTACTCCCCATGTTTATCACATAACTTAAATGATCTGAGATATTTTATTATAGGATAAAACAGACATTCCAAAGACACCGGTCTTTAATTGAGAGAGACAAATGCATTTATGAACAAACATTTTAAATATCAATTTTTGATATGGAATTAATGATAATGACGAATTAGGTATCATTCAACAAACATTAATTTTGGAATGAATTAGGCATCATTCTCAATTCATCATTCAAAATATGGCGCTTACGTGTATATTTGTCATGAAATAATTTAAATAAAATTGAAGTTGGCTTAAGTGGTATTTGGAGTTTTGTGTAATGAATACATAATTCATAAATGTGTATATAAAACCAAGCATCTAATATAAATGTTATTAAAATAATGCAGAATAAAATTATTGAAAATTTTGTAAGGGATCATTCATATAAGGAATAGCTGTAATACTCTTGAAACATTCATGAAATAGACTAGGACTAGGAATTGAAATTTCATACGTAAGGCTCAAGGTCCTCATCTACTCAGGAATATACTGCAGATGGGAAACCTATATACCCTTCATCAGAAGACGATTTGGATCAATTCAAGGTAGAACATTTGAAAAGCGCTTTCGATAACTCAGCATACTCAGTAAGAAATCATTATTGTTAGAACAGATTTATCAACAGGTAATGCATGTGAATAAATGTTAACCGGAATTTAAAATACAGGGTGATTATAATTAAAGTTTAAGTTTCAAAACGCTATAAAAAAAGAACCACTGATGAAAATGATGTGAAATTTGAAAGGAATGTTATTGAAGAAGGCGGAAAGCGTATGGCAGAAGAAAAAAGTTAGTTTCAAAAGTTAGCAACAGATGGCGCTGTAAGCGACAGAATCACGACGAGAAACGAGAAATGATTCGTAAAACAACGGCTAAGGTGGAAGTTACACATTAAAACGCATTGATAAATTAGAATTGTTGAATAATTTTATTTGCATGACTGTACATATCACATCGAAAGGGACAAATCGGTTTCAAGAGTTTTGTGGCGACATACCGCATAAGAACCATTCATCAAAGAAGTTCGGAACTGTCGCGAGACTGGGCGCAAAACATGTTAAATATGGTGTCCACCGTTGTGTGCAACAAGTTGAAAGCGACAAACAGCATGTTCCATAACGGATCGCAGTGTCTCCGGGGTGATGTTCAGAATGTGTTGCGGAATGCGTGCCTTTAATTCTGCTAAATTTGCAATTGGAGCACGGAACACAACATCCTTCAGATATCTCCACAGCCAGAAATCACACGGAGTAAGATCAGGCGATCGGGACGGCTAGGCTGTAGGGAAATGACGGCTGATAATTCGAGCATTTCCGAAATGGCGCCTCAGCAGCTGCTTCACGAGATGTGCAATGTGCGGAGGAGCGCCATCTTGCATAAAAATGATTTCATCCACACATCCACGCTGTTGCAGAGCTGGAATCACGTGGTTGCGCAAAAGAGACGCATACCTCTGACCAGTGACGGTTTCGGTAACAGGACCGGAAGCACCCGTCTGCTCGAAAAAATATGGTTGTAGGATGAATGATGCCGTAAAGCCACACCATACCGTGAAGTGGTACGGGGTGCGTTGCCAGTGGATTTTCTGTTGCCCATATTCGACAATTCTAGGTATTCACGTATCCTGTCACATGGAAATGGGCTTCATCTGTCCACAAAATTTTCCACGGCCATTAATTATCCACTTCCATGCGAGCCAGGAATTCTAACGTAAACGTCTCCCTAGCTGTCAGGTCAGACGGAAGCAACTCCTGCACATGGCCAATTTTGTACGGATAGCATTGCAGGATGTTTCGTACAATTTTCAGCAGTGTGCTCGTAGGCCTGTCAAGTGTTCCGAGCAATTCCTCGTGCATTGCACTGTTGCACACCACCGGCCGACCCCTCCTGTAATGCTGTGGCCACTTCTTCAACTACCGTCGAATGCACTCGTTTTCTCCCTCTACCAGATTGCACATCAAACGAACCTGTCGTTTTCGAATTTTTGCATTCATTTTCTTTAGATCCACGACACTCATTGGACCAACGCCTTCTTCTATATCCTTTCAGTGTCCTGAATTTTTGCAGAAGCTACTCTTGCACAATCATCATTTGTAATACAGCTTTACCAGCAGAGCGCGGTCCTGCAGTGAAACACCCATGGCGAACATCTGAGACGCGAATGAGGAACAGCCTTGGACCTGCTGGCGGTTTTATAACACTGAAATTTAACTAACATTTTAATTTACGTCTTCTTCCGCTTGCAGCGCCATCTGTTGCTAAACTTTTGAAACTAATTTTTCTTCTGCCATACGATTTCCGCTTTCTTCAATAACATTCCTTTCAATTTTGACGTCATTTTCATGAGTGGTTCTTTTTTTATAGCATTTTGAAACTTAAACTTTAATTATAATCACCCTGTACTTTATTTTTCGTATGAAGTTACTGTTGGAAGAAAGGCCGACACCTGTGCATTAAAAATAGGCATCAATTTTGCTTAATATTTAACTATGAAATATAAAACATGTACAACGAAATATGGGTATTTGAATATTGACCGGTACCCGCGAATACATTGCTATACTTTTGGTAATAAATATTTTCAACATCATCAGATGGAGAAAGCAGATTTTCTAGTGAGTATTGCATACACGCTATTCTATACTGTACTACAATTCTATTCAAAATCTCACCGGATTATTATTTTCCTCAGACTATCTCCGCCTCCACAAATGACCACAAGGACAAAAATGACTTCTGAAGAAGCAATTTCCAGCTTTTATAATAATTTGTGGGCTGAAGAGAAGCACGCCTTAAATAAATCATAAAAGGGAAACAACCTGTGTTAGGCGTAGATTTTTAGTATAGAAACTATCGATTTCGAGGGCGAACAAAGTCCCTCTTCATCAGGAGCAAAGAAATCTGCAACTGAGAAACCAAGTTACGAAAATATTTATACCCTAAGAAAGTCAAGAGAGACGAGAAAGTAGCATTTGCTGTAGAAATACTAACGAAAATTGAAAAATTAGGATAATCAAGATTTAAAAGAGTTAGGTAGGATTGGATTAAAATCATTAACTAAACACTAATTTTTTGTGAATCAAAACCTTTAAGAAAATCTAATCCTCCAATGGAAGAAGCTTTCTGTATAATTTCTACAGTGGAACACCGTGGAATTCTGGATAACCTCCACCGCCCACTGTGGAAAGTTTAATTCGTACACTTGTAAGGACCAGGTTGACTATACCTGCTCTATGAGGAATGTGTTGGCTGCATGGATGTTTCCACAATTTTCTATGTTTGAAACGTGAATACTAGACATTTTCCCCAATGACAACCTTCGAGAAGATATCGGTGGTACTAGTACTAATAAACAAGTACGTAGAAACATCGGTTAGTAGAAATGACTTGTTTATCGTATGCAAACTCTTCTTAAAACATACAGATTAAATACAAAAAATTACTAAGCAATTTAAACGATAAAATAGGGTATCTATTTATAACATTCAAATAGTATAAAATCCATTGAGTAGTATCATAAAGCTTTATCTTTTAACAAAGTAAAATAAATTATTTGATATGATTTGTATTAATTATTAAACACAAAAGTCGGTAGAAAAAAAGCGAGTTTCGGGAAACACTTGAAAAGCTCATGCATCAATAATATTTAATAATTTACTGACGGAAAGAATTTATGTACTTCCAGTAGTAATAAATGCAATGCACACATGCACATTGCATTTTAGAAACATAATTTGCACATTAATAATTGCAACTTTAATCGATGTTCATGTAAAAAGTAAGCGGCTGAAATTTGAGATTGATTTTGAAAAATTAAAATTCTTAAGCTCAAAGTTTAAAATGTAGTAAACTTTTAGTGATCTACTTAACCAAGAACTAAAAATTACCAGAAAGATCAAATAAGCATGTTTATCTTACCAATAGTATTATCACACAGAGCTAAGCATGGATCTTGACAAAGATGATCTCTAGGATTGAAATGCTCATCGCCGACACACAAGGATAGAACAGGCACGCCTTCTGTGCATTTGTAAAATGCTTGGCAATCCGTTGGATGTGGATACATTCCATTGGGATCCAAACACATCGTTGAAATAGTAGTTGATTCCTTGACCTCAGAAACGGTTCCAGATTCCGACAATGTTATAGATGTAGAAGATTGAAAACGTGTTTCCAAATCTGTCTCAGAAGTAGATGTTTCTACGGGTAAAATTGTTACAGTCTCAAATGAGTTTTCATCAGTAAATGACTTTGTTATTGGTTCTGTATTTATCGAGGTATGTATTTCTGACGCTGTTGACTCACTAGACGACAGAGTTTCATATGCAGTGAATTTTGTTACAAAAGTTTCAGTCGAATTCTTAGTCTCCGATGTCACATCAGTGAATTTTGCGGGGGAATCAGTGAACCGCTCTGGAGTCGTTGCTGCAGTAGTAATAGTAGCAGGTTCAGTTTCAATACTCTTTCCGCTAACATCATTTGTAGTATATCCCGTTACATCTTCAGTGATATATTTCGATTCCGACGTCGTTTCAGATGTGGAAGGCTGCGTATGCAAATCTGACATCGTAACAAAAGCAGAGGTTTCACTTGCAGTTTCTGTCATAGTTCCTGGAGTAGCAGATTCAGTGCTAGATGCTGTCACAACAGAAAATGTTGTACTTTCAGCAGTAGATGTTACTATATTTGGCTCTATAATCGTTGACATATTTGTTTCCGATTCTGTAGCTGTACTGGAAGATCCTTGCTGAGAAGGCGCAGTAAATTTTGAAGGAGGATTATGTGTTTCCGATGTCATTTCAGTAAATTCTGTAGTGGAATTTATGAGTCTGTCGGTACTCGTTGGTAATGAGGAAATCTTGACCGATTCAGTTTCAGTTTTATCTGTACTAAAGCCTTTTGTTGTATAACGCGTAATACTCTCAGTTGCAGTGTTAGAGTCCGAGATAGATTTAGTTGTGAAAGGCTCGGTAAATAAATCTGAAACTGTTTTAATTCTATTTTCCGTGACAGTCTCCGGAATAGCAGATCCCGTGCGAGTTTCTGTCACAATCGCAGAAGCTGTGCTTCCAGTAGTAAAACTGAATGATGTTGGTTCTATAGTCGTTGATATATCTATTCCTGATTCCGCAGTAATGCCCGAAGTCCTTTCAAAGGCCGCAGTGAATGTCGTGACAGTTGGCTTCTTTGTTTCCGTAGTTGAATCAATGAACCGCTCCGTAGTCGTTGGTTCTGAAATAATAGTAATAGATTCAGCTGTTTTTCTAATATCGCTTGAAGTGGATTGTGTAAAGCCCTCAGTTGGATTATTCGATTCAGTCACTGTTTCAAGTGTTACAGGCTTGGTATGCAAATCCGATACTGTTTCTGAGGGAGACGTTTCATATCTGGTTTTTGTCACAGATTCTGCAGTAGCAGATTCGGTGCGAATTTCTGTTACGACAGCAGATGTACTTCCAGAAGTAGAAGTGATAATTCTTGGCTCCGTAATCGTTGAAATATTTGCTTCCGAATCCGTAACAGAGTTGGAAAATCTTTGAGAAGTAACAGTGGATTTTGTAACGGAAGTCGCCTTCTCTGTCTTTGATGTCATTTCAATCAATTCTGTAGTGGATTCATTCAATCGTTCGGTAGTTACAGGTACTGAATCACTGACTGTTTCGGTTTCAGTGTTTTTCTGTACTAATACTTTTTGTCGTATATTGTGTAATATTTTCCGTTGGAGTGCTCCTTTCTGAGATAGCTGTGAAAGATTTAGTTGGTAAATCTGACAGTTTCTTCTTGGCTTACCGTAATTGTCTCTAGATTAGGAGTTTCAGAGCGTGTTTCCGTAACAGTTGCAGATGCTGTACTTCCAGTAGAAATAAATGTTGATTCTTCAGTTGTCGATAAATCTAGTTCTGATTCCTCACTAGTGCTGGAAGTCCTTTCGAAGGGCGCAGTAAATTTTGTAACAATTGGCTTCTTTGTTTCAGTGGTTGTATCAACCAACCGTTCTGCAGTCGTTGGTAGTGAAGTAGTAGTAATTGATTTAGTTTCGGTTTCAGTTTTACTAATACTGCTTGTAGTAGTATCTTGCGTAATATCCTCAGTTGAATTGTCGATTTCAGTGACTATTTCAGATGTGAAACCCTTGGTAAGAAAATCTGTTACCATTTCAGAAGGAGACATTTCACCTCGGGTTTCCGTCACAGTTTCTGGAGTAGTAGATTCAGTGAGTGTTTCTGTCGCAACTGCAGATGCTGTGCTTCCAGTGATAGAAGTGATGGTTACAGGCTGTGTAATCATTGAAATATTTGCTTCCGAATCCGTATCAGTGCTGGAAAATCCTTGAGAAGTAACAGTGGACTTCGCAACGGAAGTCACCTTTTCTGTCTTTGATGTTATTTCAATCAATTTGGTAGTGGCGTCAGTCAATCGTTCGGTAGTTACAGGTACTGAATCACTGACTGTTTCAGTTTCCGTGTTTTCTGTACTAATACTTTTTGTCATATATTGTGTAATATTTTCCGCTGGAGTGCTCCTTTCTGAGATAGGTGTGAAAGATTTAGTTGGTAAATCTGAAACAGTTTCTTCTTGGCTTACCGTAATTGTCCCTAGATTAGGAGTTTCAGAGCGGGTTTCCGTAACAGTTGCAGATGCTGTACTTCCAGTAGAAATAAATGTTGATTCTTCAGTTGTCGATAAATCTAGTTCTGATTCCTCACTAGTGCTGGAAGTCCTTTCGAAAGGCGCAGTGAATTTTGTAACAATTGCCTTCTTTGTTTCAATGGTTGTATCAACCAACCGTTCTGCAGTCGTTGTTGGTGAAGTAATAGTTTCAGTTTTACTAATACTGCTTGTAGTAGTATCTTGTGTAATATCCTCAGTTGGATTGTCGGTTTCAGTGACTGTTTCAGATGTGAAAGCCTTGGTAACAAAATCTGTTACAGTTTCAGAAGGAGACATTTCACCTCGGGTTTCCGTCACAGTTTCTGGAGTAGCAGATTCAGTGCCTGATTCTGTCGCAACTGCTGTGCTTCCAGTAATATAGGTGGTTGTTATAGGCTGTGTAATCATTGAAATATTTGCTTCCGAATCCGTATCGGTGCTGGAAAATCCTTGAGAAATAACAGTGGATTTTGTAACGGAAATCGCCTCCTCTGTCTTTGATGTCATTTCAATCAATTCTGTAGTGGATTCAATCAATCGTTCGGTAGTTACAGGTACTGAATCACTGACTGTTTCGGTTTCAGTGTTTTCTGTACTAATACTTTTTGTCGTATATTGTGTAATATTTTCCGTTGGAGTGCTCCTTTCTGAGATAGCTGTGTAAGATTTAGTTGGTAAATCTGAAACAGTTTCTTCTTGGCTTACCGTAATTGTCCCTAGATTAGGTGTTTCAGAGCGGGTTTCCGTAACAGTTGCAGATGCTGTACTTCCAGTAGAAATGAATGATGTTGGTTCTTCAGTTATCGATATATCTAATTCTGACTCCGCGGTAGTGCTGGAAGTCTTTTCGAAAGGCGCAGTGAATTTTGTAGCAACTGGATTCTTTGCTTCAGTGGTTGTATCAACCAACCGTTCTGCTGTCGTTGGTGTTGAAATAATAGTAATTGATTCAGTTTCATTTTTACTAATACCGCTTTTAGTAGTATATTGTGAAATATCTTCAGTTGGAGTTTCGGTTTCAGCTCTTGTTTCAGATGTGAGAGACTTTGTATGAAAATCTGTTACTCTTTCAGAGGGAGACGTTTCATCTCGCTTTTCCGTCACAGTTTCTAGAGTAGAAGATTCAGGGAGAATTTCTGTCACAACAGCGGATGTTATGCTTTCAGTATTTGAAATTATTGTTGCTGAAGGATTTGCTTCGGAGTCCGTAACACTGCTAGAAGGTCCTTGAGAAGTAGCAGTGAATTTTGTAACGGAAGTCGCATTCTTTTTTTCCGATATCATTTCAGTAAATTCTGTAGTGGTGTTAATGAATTGGTCAGCAGCAGTTGGTACTGAAGTAGGCACTGATTCGGTTTCAGTGTTTTCTCCAGTAATACGTTTTGTCGTATATTGTGAGATACTCTCAGTTGCTGAGTTGATTTCCGAGATAGTTACAGTTTTGAAAGAATCGGTGAATATATCGGACTCTGTTTCAGAAGTAGACGTCTCAGTTTGGGTTTTCGTCACAATCTTCGGTGTACCAGTTTCAGTGAGTGTTTTTGTCGCAACTGCAGATGCTGTGCTTCCAGTAATAGAAGTGATTGTTACAGGTTGTGTAATCATTGAAATATCTGTTTTATAATCCGTAACGGTCTTAGAAATTCCTTGGGAAGGTGCGATGAATTTCGTAATAGATTCTGGATTTACTGTATCCGATATCACATCAGGCAGTTCTGTTGTGAAATCAATGAAACCTTCGGTAGCCATTGACGCTGAAGTGATAGTACTTGACCCATTTTCAGAAGTTCCTCCAATATCTTCTGTCGTAGCATATTGTGTTAGATCCTCACTTACAGTGGTCGATTGTGGAAAAGTTTCAGATATTAAAGACTTGGTGGACAAATCCGATACCAAATCAGATTGAGAAGTTTTACTCTGGAATTCAGTCATAGTCTCTAGAGTAGCAGATTCAGTACTAGCTTCTGTCGCATCTTCTGAAGTAGCAGCTTCAATAGTAGAAGTGAATGTTCCCATATTCGTTGACGCATGTGTTTCTGATCCAGTAGTAATAGTCGAAAAACCTGGAAAAGAGACAGTGGATTTTATAACAGATGTCGGTAGTGAAATAGTCGCTGGTAAGGAAGAAATAATAACCGACCCAGTTACAGTGCTCTCACTAGTTACATTTGTTTTACCTGTACTGCTCGTTTCAGCGGCAGTTTCGGAGGTGAATGGATCAGTGCGCAAATTCGACACTGTTTCATGCATCGAGGTCTCTGATGCAGTCTCGGATACAGTTTTAGTCTGAGTTACTGTCACAGCATCTGAAGAACTAGTTTCAGTGAGACTTTCTGTCACAACATCAGATACAGTACTCGAATCATTAGAATGTGTTGTCGTTAGATTATTTGCTTTAGATTCCGTAACAATGGTAGACGATCCTAGGGCAGATGCAGTGAATTTTGTAACAGATGTCAGATCCTGCGATCTTGCTGTCACTTCAGTAAAATCTGTAGTGGAATCAATAAACTGTTCGGTAATTGTTGATACAAAAGAAACTGTGCTTGATTCAGTTTCAGTGCTCTGTCTGCTAAGCGTAGTATGTTGTGCAATATTATCAGCTGTCCTGCTCAGTTCTGAGCTAGTTTCAGATGTGAAAGATTCCGTATGTAGATCCGGCATTGTGTCCGAAGGAAATGTTTCAGCTGCGGTTTCTGTCACGGTTTCCGGGGTAGAAGCTTCAGTGCGAGTTTCTGTCACAACCACAGAACCTGTATTTGCACTAGTAAAAGGGTTTATTGTTGGCTCTGTAATTCTTAAAGTACTTTTTTCAGATTCCGTAATAATGCTAGAAGTTCTTTCTGTAAATATAGTGAGGTCTGGGATAAAAGTCGGATTCTGCGTTTCTGTTGTCACTTCAGGGAATTCTGTTATGAAATCAAAGACACGTTTTGTAGTAGGTGGTACGGAACTAATATCAACTGACTCAGTTTCAGTAGTTTCTTTACTAAAAGTAGTTCGGATGTCAGCTGCTGTGATAGATTCTGAAGTGAAAGAATCAGAGGGAAAGTTCGTAACCGAATTGGATGTTAATGTTTTAGGTCGAGTTTCCGACACAACTTCATTAGAGGGTGTCATAACATTTGAAGTAGAAGTTTTAGTAATGAGAGTAATTTTTGGTGACTGTGTATTTGTTGATGTTTCCAACTCCGCAGAAGTAGAAGTTTGTTGAGAAGGAGCAGTCGATTTCGTGATAGAAGTCGGATTCTGTGATTTTGATGTCGCTTCAGTTAATTCTGTGGTAGAATCAATGAAATGTTCTGTAATCGTTGGTATAGATTCTGAACTAGTTTCAGATGTAAAAGTCTCCGTACGCAGTTCTGACATCGTTTCAGACACAGAAATTTCAGATCGGGTTTCCGTCGTAGACTCATCAAAATCAGCTGTAGGTTCTGTCACAATTCCAGATGTTGCACTCCTGGAAGTAGAAGTGATCACTGTTGGGTTTTTAACTGTCAACATATCCGTTTCCGAGGTGATGCTGGAAAATTCTCTAGAAGGCGAAGTGAACCGTATAGTAGAAGTTGTTTCAGTGACTTTTGTGGTAGAATCAAGGACAGTTTCTCCAGTCGTTTCCACTGAACTAATAATATCCGCTTCGGTTGGTGTAGTATATTGCGCAACTTCATTTACAGTGCTCCTTTTCGGAGCAGTTTCAGATGAAAAAGGCTCGGTGCGTAAATTAGATACCGAATTAGATACTGTAGTGTCTTCAGTGGAATTTTCGTATGCCGTCTCTGAAGTAAAAGCTTCAGTGCGAGCATTAGTTGAAATCTCCATTTCTGGTCCCGTACTAAAGCCGGAAGATCTTACAGGAAGTGCAGTGAATTTTGTTGCAAAAGTTGTTGTAGAAGCTGGAGTTTCTGATGATATTTCAGTGAATTTTGTGGTCAAATCAATATGTCCTGAATTCGTTGATATTATATTGGTAGCAACCGATTCATTTTCCTTTATTTCTTTAGCAATATCGTTAGGAGTATATTGTGCATTTCCTTCAGTAGCAGTGCTCAATTCTGAGGCAGTTTCAGATGTAAAAGATACAGTAGGAGAACTCGATGCCGAATCCGAAGTTATATCGTTTCGAATATCAGACACAGACTGAAGGGTAGCAGTTTCAGTATTGCTGTCATTGGTACTTATAATACTTTCAGTGGTAAATATAACGCTTATTGGATTAGAATCTATGATATTGCTGTCATTGGTACTTATAATACTTTCAGTGGTAAATATAACGCTTGTTGGATTAGAATCTATGATATCACTGTAGGTTGAGGTATCTTGACTACCTGTTGTGCTAATTAGGGATGCATCTTTGGAAGGTGATGTTAATTTTGTAACAGAGGTGTCAGAATTTGCAAATGGATCTTGAGTTTCTGATGTCAAAGTAATGAAATTCGTAGTGATATCAAACCCATTATCTGCTGTCTCGTTTATTGCATCAGTACCAACGCGTTCCTTTTCAGAATTATCGGTAATCTCCATTGAAGGTACATTTGTCATAATTTCAGATCTGCCTTCAACTGCAGTGGTCCCAGTAGGCGTTTCTTCAGGTGCAGTTGTAACATTAAAGTTAACAGGTAAATTCGATGTATCTTTTATTTCATCAGAATTTGTTTTTTGAGTCTGATTTATATGCAGTGTAGATAATTCTACAATGTCATGAGATATTGTTGATGAATCCTTTGTGTATACAGAGTTATCGTTTGCAGTAGTATCATCAAAGGATAATTCTGAGTCTGTAGATCTATAAACAACTGATACTGGAGATGTTGATTTTACTGAGCTGTCAATAATGCGAGAACTGGTAGTTTCTTGAGAAAAATTGTCTTCAGACTTTATGAATTCAGTTGGAGAAGTATGGATTGTACTTTTGGAGATATCATCCATCGAAGTTGATTTTGATTCAGGCGTCACATGTTCTGTAATCTGGCCGTTCTCACTGGAAGTCTTTTCTGAATCAAAATAAGACTCACTTTCCCCTGTAGTAATCGCAGATGAAATTTCCGTTACTGTTGATTCTCCTGTAATAACAGAACTTAAAGTTGACGATACTGATAAAGTGGATTCTGAATTTACTGGTGTTTTATATGGCATTGCGGTAAACGTAATACTTTCAGATGTTGAAACAGACTGGACATCCGTTTCTAAATCATTTTCCGACGTTTCTTCTTTAGTTGCAGGATATGTTTCTGAAGTGGTTTCGCTAGCCTTGTCACTAAAGAAGTACTTTGTTACGGTACTCATGACTGTTGTTAACAGATCTCGTTCTGTCTGTGTGAAGGAAGTAGAAGTTCCATCTTCACTAGTTATATTGTCAGGCATTGCAGTGCTAGGCTGCGAGAAAGTACCATTTACAGGTATTCCTGTTAAGGCCATGCCATCAGTTGATTCTGGTAGAGAATACGATTCAGAAGGTGTTACCGCATCATCACCAATTGTGTTTCCACTAAATTCTGCTTCAGAAGTAAGTATCATAGTAGTTCCTCTTTCATTTTCGTCGAAATCATTACCTGTATTTCCATCCATGAATGTACTTTGCCCGATGACACTTGTTATTTCTGATGTAGGATATAAAGTTGATTCTTCGCTTTCAATATTTATTTCTTCCTCTGTCGTAGAAGAAAGAATTTCATTATCGTCTTCCAGGTCACTACCTGAAGATAGGTAATAAGCTGTTATGGTTGGAGACGATGTGTCGTAACTTGGCGTTATATCTAAAAAAGAAAAAAAAGATGTCGTTTTAACAAATTGCGTAAATTTCGTTTTTACTGAATGGTTTTTTTATAAAATATTTACAATAAATTCATTTCTGTCCCCTACATGTGATTAAATGATTATGCTTACTTTGTGATATAACTTTACACTAGTCATTATGATTAAATTCTATTTTCGAAAACTTTCAACTATTTACATTTTTAGTTTTGCTTCCGATAAAAATTTTTTTAGTAGCATTTGAATGTACCTTATTAAAACGTATTTTTACCAAACATATGACCAAACCTTGAAATGCATTTGAAAAGTGCATGATATTTCAGCACTTGCTTAACATATTAAAATACGTATCAGGCATCTATGGCTCAATTTTTTAATACACTCTTTTGCAAAAAAAAATCAAAGCAACAAGGACTTTTGAGATAGTGACGAAATTTGGTATGTAAAAACATCTTGATCGAGCATGCAAATGATCAAAGGTTCAATATAAATGAACAGGAATTGCGATCATAGCACGCAATTTCTAGTGCGCAGTTCGCAAGGTATAAAACCAGTAACAGAGGCGGAAGATTTATCGTTTTTATTGCTGCCATTGCAATACCGTAAAGAATCAACTAAAGATGCCATTAGGACGATATCGAAAACATTACAGACAACAAAACGACTTGTAGGGTTGCGTGAAGCCGGGGGGTATATCGAGCATTAGGCCGCCACCTGCAGCGTACAGACACTTCTGTGCAGAGATATTGGCAGCAATAGTTGCTACAAGGAAATTGCCGATGAAACGAAGGCCCTGGAAGGCCAAAGGTCACAAATGCGAGGCAAAATAGGATGATTGTTCGCCAGGCCCGACAACGGTATCACTGTCGTCTATTGAACGCACTACAGCCACGTCCATACCTCCCGTGGTACAGTCCACCATCTCACGGCGCTTGTCTGAGGCGGGGTTACGCTCACAGAGGCCTTTAAGATGTTTGCCTTTGACCCCACAACATCGGCGGAGTCATCTGAAGTCGTGTCGCAGCCGCTCATCATGACTGCCCTCAGACTGCCATCGTCTAGTGTTCAGCGATGCATCCCGCTTTGTGAAGGAGGAAGCAGATGACCACCGTGTTCGTGGCCAGCGTCCCCAATCAGCCTTTATTTTACAAAGACATACAGCCATAACCCCTGGTGTGATGGTGTGGGGCGCTATTTCTTATGACAGTAGATCTATAATCCTCCTCCGTACATCTTTAAAAGCTCAACGATATATTGATACATTCCTGCGGCCGGTTGCATTACCTTTTATGGCACGTCATCCTGAGGACATTTTCCAACAAGATAATGCCAACTCACATACCGCTCGCATATCTCTGGACTGTCTCCGTGCGTTTGATACTCTTTTATGGACAGCAAGGTCACCAGACGTTTCACCAATCGCGTATGTCTAGAACATGGTAGGCCGCCAGATTCGGGCACTACAAAATATAGCAGATCTGGAGCGAAAACTGATGAATGTCTGGCAGAATGTGTCGCAGGATGACAGTAGGAACCTCTACCACTCCTTGCCTCGATGAATTCAAGCATGCATTGCCGCCAGGGGCGGTTCGACCAACTACTAATATGAACATTCAATGGGTGATTGTGAGCCGTGAGCAGGTACTAGAACCTTGATTTTTTAATCATTTTATTATCTGTATATGAGTTACACACATATTCAATTTCATCAAAAACAGCCACATCCTTCATGGTGTTTCGATTTTTTTGCAAAAGAGTCAATTTGTTATTCAGTTTGAACATCTGAAAATTCATAAGACTAAGTTCATATTCTGCACCATGGAGATAGAAATATATACTGCATCTATACAACAGAATAATATACTCTATCTTTATTTTAAAAAGCTTTGTTAAGAATACGGTTTATTATTTATATTTTTCAACTTTGTTCTATACAACAAATTATAAATATTTAATATTACTCGATGTATACAAGTGCAAGAGTTATGACAAGAAATGCATGATACTGACAAGTGAGGTTTTAATATATGTAATATATAGCTTTGTTTAGAGAAATTTGTTAACTTGGATGGAGCTCTTAGAATTCAATAAACTCCAAAATGCAAAAACAAAAATGTATTAAGCCATAAGTATAGCTTTAGGTAACGTTGATATTAGTTTCGTTTAACAACCTGAATTGCAAAGAAAATGCGTGTAAACACACTTCTGCCGAGTGCTCCCTAATACTTAACCACATGGTCGTGCTTATAAGCCATGAACAATCCCCATATGAACTCAATGTATATATATATTTCAGAAATGTTAGTATCAATACATTCAATATCTATGCACATATATTTCGGTAAATTTCTAAATTAACATTCATATTCTTAAAAATGTCATATTTGGTAATGCATTTTACTGACGAATTCTACTCTGCAGTAATAATATTTAACAAAATTAAACTTTAGTTCCTTTAAATTGAGTCTGAATAAGAAAACTCAAGATGTGAAACACTTCAACAGACTTAACCGTAGTTATATGGTAAAATAGTTGCGTAAAGATATTCAGAAACAATTTAAAATTTATCTTTTGTTATAAGTAAGCTGATTAGTATTTGATTCTTAATGCTCTCAAATTCTTAGGTCTATAAATTAAAATGGCTTTTATAAGCAGAACGTTAAGTATGTGCACTTTAATTATTCATTTTAGCCTTTGCGACATATTAACCGATACAAATAAAATAGAATTTATCTTGAAATTAATTTGGCAATAACGTTTACAATAACTTATTTAACAAAGAGTCGCTAACAAGTATTTCAGTAATATGTACCGGAAATCACACACTTCGAGATTAACTATATTGTAATAGCAATTCAATGAATATTACTCTTAATATTTGTCGCTTGGTGTCTCACTTTATACTTAATTAGTTGATCACCCTACATACTCCATACAAAAAAGTTCTAATGAAAAAAGTACTAAAAAGTAAATGTTCTAATGCAAAGCCACCTTATTCATAGGGTTTTCTTTTTCCATAAAGCAACAATTTCAAAAATGTAGATTCAACTTTAATATCACTCCTTCTAATCAGACCAAAGAATCTTCCATTTTATTGCTTTGTACACCTTTCAATTACTGTGAAATCAATCATGGGTATGATTTATCAAATGTAACAGCAATGAGTGGTATGTAGATTTTAGCCTCTAATTGTTCTTGCTTAATACTTTTTATAAATACTTATACTTGCTTAATACTTTTTATAAATGTAAATTTCCTTAAGTGAGCATATACAGAATGTTTTTATTACTAGTCATTCACTGATAGTTTGGTGTTCTTAAAGAACCACATTATCAGGTTTTTCAAGCACTAGAAAGAACTAAAGATAATTCATCTAGGAAATTTTAAAATAGAAAAAAACAGTTGAATATTCGTTGGAAAGAATCATTTCCTACCAGGCTCGAAATATTTTCCTTTTTTTTTAATTTAGGTAATATACATTTATCCTCTGCGAATAAAATTTTTCATTTTATCCAGAAGAACGTTTATGTTTGAATGAAACTTTGTTAAATAGTTTGATTTTGTGATATTTGGTTTCCAGTTTCATGTGAAAAATTCCATTAGGTACAACTTACTAAATTTTCACAGTTTTAATGGCATACAAAAAGAAAATTCCGATTCCTAACTTGTAATTTGTTTCGGATTTTTTCCGTTAAAAGACAGCACACGCCAAACAATTTGCTATAAAAGGTTACATGTAGCAGATGTGGTCTGTTGGCTGTTGTCAAATTAAATGTTTTGGTGTTACTTCTTATAATTTTGTTTGTATTTTCAAAGAACTGTCAATAAAAAGTTTCTTAGAATATGTCATTATTTCTTACTGAAACAACTAATCTAAGCAATATAGTATTTATGTTTAGAAACATTTTGCCATGTTGGAAAAGAGCAGACGACGATAATGTTGTCTCGTTAAAGTTCGAATTTATTGAATACATGTTTTCAGGAAATATATTTGTAAGTATATATATCTGCACATTTATAATAACGGAACAAATCCTATGTTCATATAGTGTTTTACTTTTCGGCCTTCAAAAATTTACGAACAATATAACATAAGAAAAGGTACATTTGGTCACAAAATTGCTTTTTAATGGTTTACGGGCTTCCGTTTTCCTTGCATTCTCGTAATCATGCATATTCGCTGCTTCGTGTTTTGCAATGCAGATGCATGAATATCCCCTAAAACGCTTTTCGTTTTTCTTCAATCTAGAAATGTTTTTTTAAAGTTTAATAAAACAATTTCTTTACAGAAAGTAATTTTCCGAACAAAAGCAGACAAGAACTATATTTGGCCACTTACCACAAGTCACGTCTTCAGCATAATCACAAGTAAGTGTTTCAGGGTTCATCAGCAGTCCCTCCGAACACTGTTCGACGTAGGCTATTCCATCTTCACACCGATAGTATTGAGAGCAACTCGTATTACTCGGATAGATGCATGAACAATTATTGCTTTCACACACTATATCGTCAGAGCGAACGCCGGTCTGGTATGGAGGCAAGTCCGTTGCTCCAGCTAATTAGAAGGAGAAAAGTAATGAAAAGATTATTCAAATTTACGTCAGTTTGATACATGATCAGCGTTACTGTAAACTCTTTTAAACATCATAAACAGAATTTTATGCGTCACTTTTCTTCATCCTTTTTAAATGCTTAAATATCAATTTCTTGGGATTATGCGCGTAAGAAATACGTTCGACTTTTAAAATAGTTGAAGTCTTTATATGGAAGTGAAAAAAAGCAAAATTTACGTAATAGTTTCGTTAACTTAAACTAATAATACGAATTCCCTCATAAGCGAACTAGTTTAGGAAGATAAAGAGGTACTATTCCGTTTTGAGGACCGTAAAACAATTGCAACGAAAATGTATGCGCAAAAGCGCCAAATCTAGCAAACGCGCATCATCAGATGGTCTCATCAGATGAAGCTGGTTCATTTGAATACACGCGACTTTGCTCATTCAGGCTTGTAGTATTAGAAATTTTTTTCTTCCTCGGAACAATTAAAAAGAGAAACCACTTTCTTTAAATTTGAAGCAACAATTTACCTATGGTTTTTCGAAATTCAGTATCTTTTTATCACTTCACGTGAGATCCAATTTAATTACTTTTGAAAAGCTTTGTGTAAAGGTCATATAGGTTATTTGCATATTACGGCATTCAAAAGTTCTTTAAACTGTTGGTAAAAAATTAAAAGCGTATAGTAACAGCAAAGTTTAATGTTGAAAGAAAAATGGAAAATATATTTTAAAGTCAGATTGCTATTATCATTCAGTGATCATTATTTTGAGAAAATAAAGTGTAAAAATCATTTTCGTCCTTTTCCCAAGTCTGAAGAATCATGTTAATTTCTTGAAGAGTATATTCCATCTAAATTCTTTAGCTGAAAAATGTAGCCATTTGACAATATTTATGGTTAGCTGCAAATTAAAATTATGAGGTAAATAAAATAAAAGGTATATGAGAATTAAAATTTCTTTATGAAACAAAATTTACATTTACCCTAAAGTCAGTGTCCAGCAGATGCGCCCTATCATCCCTGAGAAGTTAATGCTTGTACAACCCATCTTTTCGCGAACATTTTATATGTCAGCCCTCACTTCTTATACGAGCACTATTTTTGTAAAACAAGTTGCGAAATCCTGCAACATATGCGAAGAGTTTCCGACTGAAATTCGATCTCAAAATATGAAAATACTTCAGCAGTTCCTAAAGTGTTGAGAGAACTTTGTTTCGGCTTTATTATTATTTACAACACAACGAGTTCATGCAAAATTTGAGATAAACTAATGCTTATCTAATGTAACTTCTCATTATTCATCAAACTCGAAATTGAGCTTCTGAACTCTCAAGTAGTAGTAATTAGTGCAGTACAAAAAAGCCAATGGTGCTGTTTTCACGGAAACCCTCTACTTAAAATAATCCCTCTGTCTTATTGTTTTAACACAATATGATCTACAGTTCAGCTTTCTCGATATAAAAACGGATTGAGAAGGATATTTTATAATTTTAGTCAGAAAGTAGCAGAAATTTGCATTGGCAGATCTTTGGATTGGCTTCTACTTATTGTAAGTATTCAGGAAAAAATGAAACCTATTCAATTATGTGTTTCCCCTTGGATGGAAATAAACGTTAAATAATATTTACACACTAGACCCTCTGCACTTATTCCAGACTTCCAGTCAAGGACAGGGTTATTTTAGGAACCGCCAATACATAATGTTCTGATTTTAATATAGAAAGTATGATAAAGCAGAGAATAATTTGATAGTATTCTGAATCTGAAGCTTAGATCCGCATATATTTCATTGGCCTACGAGGAAATCAAATTCTGATCATTGCTGAACCTACATCCGGGAAATTCTATTCTTGTATGGTGACTCAAACATTACATTAAGACTTATAAAGAGGCCTCTAGTTGCCGAGCGCTAAAGTCACTAAACACTAATAGTTCGACCTGAGTAGAGTGCTGGCGAACGGATAGCTGCATAGACGTTTTTGCGGTTTTTCCCATGTAACGTTAATAGAGTCCGTTCCCCTTAAAAAGAGCTCCACGAAGGCATCTCTTCCCTTAGTAAGTTTGCCCTCGAAGTAAACCAAACCATTTCTTAAAGGCTGGTTTCTGCATTATGCAGAATGCTGGCACTTTCACTAAGATTGAGCCAGCAGAACTTTAATGGTGGACCATAGGTTTGCGACTTATGTTATATACATGTATAAGATAAGCAGATTAAAATTCATGAATCATTATTCAATTTAAGAAATACTTCCTTTTTCGCAAAACAAAAGGTAGCGTTAAAAAACACCTGTAAGATTTTATTGTATAGGATGACTGGTTTCTTTAAAATGAGTATAAAACGTGTTAATAGTTATCAAGGTGGATGAGTGCACTTTTCTCAACTTTAAAAGTAGATCTAGAAAACTAATTGTACATACATACTAGCGCATAATCCAAAGTCACGTCTGAAGGCAATCTAAGCGAACTTCATATTTTCTAAGCCTTTGCATTCAAAATATTAATATTCAGATATTTCAGAATCTTTCCAATATATCTTCAACTAAGAATAATGCTTTGGGTGGAATCGGTGAATTTATATTGTTATAGTAAATAGATAATTACTAAAATATTGATCACAACAAAGACAGAAAAATAGGTCCGAGAGAATTTGAGAAGTATTTTCCCAAGATCATCTCCAAAAATTATCTCTCGGCTATCTTATCTACAATATTCAAAATTAATTGGATAAAAGTTAATACACATTGTTAATACTTCCGAGCTGTACTAATAAAGCTTATAAGAGATGCAAAAGGTAAGCACTTCTTTATAACAATTTTGCTGAAAATTAACTAATTGCTAGTGGATTGAAATACACGTATGAACGAAATGTGCTGCAGTGTAAAAATTATCTTTTAAGTCTATTTCTTTAAAAATTCGGAAATTTTGACTTAACGTTTGTGCATTTAAAATATAGAATGAAACTTAGCAAGAAAGTGTGTAAGCTTTTATTAATAAGATCGAAATTTTCTTTATTTTAGTCATAGTCTGCAATTTTTTCTCGGTTTTTAAATTGTACGATGTTTACAAGTAAGTCTGTATTAATATCAAATTCTGCAATTAGTCTTAAACTGTAACCAAGCTGAAATGGACTAATAATTTGAAATAAATGGAATGCACGAACTAAAGTTTATTGATTAAATTAATATTCTGTCCGAAGTCTCTAGAACAATTTTAATAAGCATCCAAACTGAGTAAAGAAAGACACATTTATTTGCAGAATAAGTGACCCTATATAACTTTGTTTCAATGAAAGTGTTTTTTTGTTAAACTTCATTCGCTTTGAAGAAATGTTACTGAAATAACTCGATGTCACTGAAGTTTCTGACCAACTGCAATGTCGTCCAGACGGTGTAATGGTTAGTTAAGCCTGCTACGTTACCGAAAGCCTAGGTTCGAATCCCAGAGAAGACATGGACGTTTCTAAATTTATAGTGTCAGTGCGACACTTTAAATACGCGCAGAGCCGAAAAGTTTTCTCGTGTGGATTGGTAGAAGAGAAATGGGATGCCCTCCTTCAAAATTGGTGGAAAATAGAAATCCAACCTCTCTTTGAGTAGGCTCTGGCAACCATTGTTCCATGTAATATGGATAAGGTTCCAAACCACCAAATATGTAAGCTTATTCATATTTCTCCAAATGCAGATATAAACAAACTAGAAAATTAGGTTATTAGGGGAAAAAAAAAAGAAAAAAAAAATCTATTTCTTTTTTTTTCATTTTCTCGCTGACGTTCATTTAATCCGCAGATTTGTATTAAATCCAGGAAATTTTTTTTTCTACCAGAATAATTATAGAAGCAGTGTTTTAAATATACAGAAATTATTAGTCCAAAGGTGCTTTGTCCCTGAAGGACTATTGTTTTCGTTTTGTGATTTTGCGTTGAATCACTATAAATGTTCGTTTCACTTTTCAAACTGTTGCCACCAAATATTAGTCCTGCATTATATTTGGAGAAATTAAATAATGAAAACTCTGCATAAATGTATGTATATTTCTCGCATTGTGATAAAATAACGGTACATAGAGCCATCGAATTTTGAATGACGTAATCCTACTGCGAATATGGGCATGTGGAAGGTCAAATTTGAAATTGGTTTTATTATCGATTTCATATTTTGTAAACCTTTAATGAATTTTTGAGTAACAAACTCAACGATTTAAAAGCGAACATGATATTTAATAAATAAAGGTAATACACAAAACGTTAAAAAACGTCTCTTTGAACGTAATTTAAAATCTGAAACACCTTTCAGATATTTTTTTAACATAAATTTATAGGGCAATTCTGAAGATAATTATTAGATAAACAGAGAATATGAGAGCTATCTGCCTGAGAAAAAAAACTTAATGATTTACATTACACATGGAGGAAACCACTGAAATCCATGCACCCACCAGCCCATTGGGCGGGTTTTGAAACTACAGATGTTCAGCGCTTTTATCTGCTCGCTCATTGGTGGGCCGTAAATTTTGAAGCAAAATCTCCTATAGAGGTTAGTTTACAACATAAAATTATCACTCAAAATAGCATTAGGCAATGTGAAAAGGAGTGAAATATAAAAAGCGATTCGTCTAATTCGTGTGTTGTTGTTAATTGCGATAAAGCATTTAAGACGGCTTTCTCCGGTATTTATGTTTCACACAAATAAATCATGGAAATATTCGGTACTGTTCTGTTGTCAGGGCCGAGTCCAGAATCGTGTGTATAATGCATTGTATTTATGTACGTACACAACTACATACGCACTATATATATATATATATATATGCGCGTATACACTTATATACGCACATACATGCATGCACTTCTGAATCCGGTCCTGATAACAGAAGAGTACCAGATATTCATACAGGCACTAAGAATTGTCTAACCTGTAACAAATTACCACAATTAGACGGGGTTTACCCACATGGCCACTAAACAAGGTCTAGCTTCTTGAGAAATTATGAATAATCAGAGATTGTAAAATAATGCATATATTCATTTTTTAAATGTTTTAACTTTGCGAAAGAAGTGTAAAACTTCAGTTTTTTAATGTATCAACTTACCGTCTGAACAAGCCACTGAGGCGTTTCTGTCGCAAGTCCTTTTATAACGATCAAAAAGTAGTCCATCTGGACAACTAACAATCTCCGAAATTCCATTTTGACAAATCATGTACGTCGTGCAATCATCTGGATTTGAGAAAACTCCAACTTTGCCTTGGCATGGATCCTCCTGTCCAACTTCTTCAGAAACAGCTGAAAAGTAAAACTGATGTTAAATTTTCAGTAGGTAATACGAATTACAGATGAGTTTAGCAAACAGCCTTTGGCATCTACAATTAAAGAACAATCTACATGAATGTATGCCTTTTTTCTCACAATATGACAAAACAAAGGTGCGTAGAGCCATCAGATTTTGAATAACGTAGTTCCTTATTGTGTATGCCATATTTTTTAAAATTAAAGAATTTTTGATTAAAAATTCAACAAATTCAAAGCGATCAGTGGCAATACTGTAGGAAATAAAACATTTTTAACTCCAGAGCGCGAGATTGTCTATCGGAAATTCTTAAGATATGCTGTTTTTAAATATTTTATCCCAAAGGGACATTTTCCCAAATGCTCTCAAAACCTGCATGTATTTGTAAGTGAAAAAAACGCTCTTTGGGAGTAATATGAAATCTGAAGGATTTCAGACATTTTTAGTCATACATTCATTATGAAAGGAAAATACGTACTTGCGTATTTACGGTCGTAAAAGCTTAATACGGTCTTACGGCCGACAATGCTAAGTTTTCTGCCTTGCTGGTTTTGAAGCACAAAGACAAGAGAATAGATACAGGAATTTTTCAGCGGAAACAAGCGCGGAGAAAATGTGTTTTACGTTCACTTTACCCTTATTATTATATCGCCCTTAATGAGAAAGACATTCTTCGCCTTTACGCATAGAAGAAACTCTTTGCCATCAGACAAGAGCAAAGTTCAGTCAGCGCTGACCTAAACCGCAAGTAATTTCTGTAAATGTTATTGACGTTTTAAAATACTTTTGGTAGCCATGATAGTTGTTAGCGTTGCTGGAGCGTCAAAGAAGGCTTGGCTGCTCGCAACTGTATAGTGTCTTTAAAGCATGGGGGTACCTCAAATATACGAATAGCTGAAAGTCCACTCGAAAAGTTTGTGATAATGAGTAGAGTTGGGGAGGCCATTGCACCAGACTCCCTAGGGGATTCTCTAAAACTAGAAGCGAATGGGAAAATGCGGCCTTTAAACAAGGCTTCGTTCTGACGACGGTTTTAAATTTTCTGGAAAGTCGGTATACCTACTAAGTATCGACGGTTTTGTCGTCATAAAGCATTCTGGTTTAAGGCACAAGGATCATTAAGTCCATTTAGACTTGTTTAACAGGGTTTAAGCTGTAGTCACTCAGGGAAGTTTCGCATGCAATAAATGTGTATTTGACTTAGAGAAACCGTTGATCGACTCGGATTAGGCATCCTATGACTTTAAAACCTCTATGTGACCATGATAACTACATATGTAACCCCGTGCTTCTCACTGTGATGAAATTCGCAGACATTCTGATGTTGCTATAGCACAATACAAATGTTTTTAAAAGAAATGAAAATTACTTAACAAAGCTGAGAAATTATTTAAAAATTGTAATTGCTAAAAAAATTTAAAAACTGCATGTTCAAAACATGCACAAAAGCTAATTGGTACTTTCATATTAGCGCAACACCTCGGAGCAATTTTGTGATTTTTTACACATTAAAATGTAAAAGATACATATCGTGTGCTAGCTGATGATTTTCGAGCCTTTTTTGAAATGATTCCCCAATTATCGATATTTATCCGAAGTCAGTAAACATTCAGTACATGAAAAGAAAACAGACTTTAGCTATTTAAAATAAACCTTAATTATTAAGTAAAGATTGCGGAATACATTAAAAAATAAAACTTATTCGTTTTCAAATCTTCCTGCTATTTTTCTGCGTTATTCTTCTCCCCAAGTATAAATCCATCTGCTTTTTGCTCCAGAAAATATCAGAGAATTGCGGGGACTCGGCTTCGTGCAAATCTCGGTAGCAGCGCTATCTAGAAAACGCATTTCCTTGTTGCTCTCTTTAGAAAATTTTCAGCAGAATTCTGCATTTCTGAAGAAATTTTATTGCAGTTTCTATTGTTGCTGGAAAATTCCATAAGTTCATACTTTAAGACAAAAAATATCACGATTTATTTATAAAACTCATTGGGACATGGAATACAACAAAAAAAGAACACATACGAAAATGATGACGTTGCTTAGCTGAAGGACGTATGAACACGGTTGTCAGAATAATAGTAATAAGCATGGGGGCCAGAATTTGGCATTTTTGAAAAACTGGCGATTTCTACTAAGGTGGTTGCGATACCACGTAACGACCAGTTGATTTTGCTTTTCATATCATTTAACAAATGTGGACTTGCATGCTATTTAAAGTGCGTGAATTTCTTGTCATGGCAAAACAAATTTACTATCTTCACTTGCGGAAAATGCTCATAGCAACGGGGCGCAAGCAATCCAGTGATAAAATCTCTTACAACTTGAATAAATACACATTCTCTATATGGCACCAATTTCTGTAGAATTGTAGCAAGTTTTTCCCTCCATTTGGCACTACTGGTTTGAAATGTTAATTTTAAATATATGATTTTATATTTTGTATGAACTTCTGAGAATTCTTGAACCAATAAATCTGTCGTAACTAATTTAAACTATAATCCGAATAAATCTTACTAATTGTTCTATTTTTAAGTCGTTATGAATTCATTAACCAGTGAAATTTGTCGTACCAATGAATGACCGCAAACCATTACCTCCGAAACTGACATTTAACAACTTGAATATGGATACTGAATTGTAATATTTTCTACAATGATCACTTCTTAACTTATCGAGCCATCAAACACGTTTATTCCGGATTATGAAAAAATCTTAGTTTTCGATATTAGCGTAAAATACTTTTAAATACTATGAAAATTAAGAAAATGCATCTCTAAACTGAAATTTACAAAACACAATTTATAAATTTCTGAACAGTAAGTATTACTCGTATCTCAGCGGAACATAATATAAAGTATATATTTTCATTTGTAACACTTCGTAGCATTCATAGATTACGTATACTTTTTTATTCTGATGCTGTATTAAGTTAATATAAACATTAAAATATCGTCGTTCCTCGATTCCAATTACAAGATTTATAAGCTTGATGAGACGGTTCTTCGTAATCGTTTAATACCCCCAAAAAAGTAACAGCAGGCGAGTTGGTAAAAAACTGACACTAAATTGAAATGCATCTTTATTAGACAACCAAAATCTGATTCAATAATCAGCCCAAAGGGGCTTTTATCTCTGAAGTATTGTTTTCGTTTTGCGATTTTGCGTTGAATCAATATAAATGTCCGTTTCACTTTTCAAACTTTTGCCACCCAATGTTAGAATCCTGCATTATATTTGAAGAAATTAAATAATGAAAAATATGCATAAATGCATGTATATTTCTCGCAACAACGGTACATAGAGCCATCGAATTTTGAATGATGTAATCCTCCTACGAATATGAGCATGTGGAAGACCAAATTTAAAATTTTGAATTTGTTTTATTATCGATTTCAAATATTGTTAACGAATTTGAGTAACAAACTCAACGATTTAAAAGCATGCAATGGCAACACTCTACGGAGCAAAAAAAACCTTTTCATCTTCAGCGCGTGGAACTGTGTATCGGAAATTCTAAAGATAGGCTCATTTAAAATTATTTTGCGACATTGCTATTGAACTGAATTTTATGGTTTAAGCGCAAACATGATATTTAATAAATAAGAGTAACATACAAAACGTTAAAAAATGCCCTTTTGGACTTCATTTAAAATCTGAAACCTTTCAGATTTTTTTATATATATTTAATTACTGAATCGATAAAGAATCTAATTGCTTGAATCTTGCCATTTCTTCGCAATTTAATTAAAGTTTACAAAATAATTAAAACTTCACCAGGCTTCTTTTTTTTTTCATTTAACCGTTTGTGATTTCTCGTTTCAATTATAAAATATTTACTTTGAGAAAAACTTATTACTAAACACTGCAATAATTAGTTTTCCCAAACTTTGCAGTTGCTGCACATTACATAGCTAAAGCAATGGACTGGGGTAAGATAGATACCATTTCTAAAAACTATTTAGCGACTACCTCCCTGTGATTGTACTTCTTTGATCTACTAAGTTCTTCGTTACAATGTGCTGCGCTTGTAAAGGCTCTGTTTCTGAAAGCGCTTAAATGCATATTCAGTATAATGACTCCTGATGAACAATATATGCATGTACACATGTATTTATCAAATATATCGGAGAATATACTTATCTAACTATTTAATTGCCTATCTTGCAGAAAGCATATAAAACATATTTTCAACCATATAATAAAGCTTCATATATGTTAGGTAGATATAAAACAGTCTCTTCCTCCTACTATGAAATGCCTCCAAAAATGTGGGATCACATTACACATCGGGCAGTTTTATATAAAAAGGCTAATATAAAGTTCGGTTAATGCAGTTCCTTTACATTCAACTCCTTTTTGCATTACACAAAAGTGATTTCGGGGAAATCACTTCACTGCGTAATTATCAGACATGTTGCAAATAAGTCAAATATTACTTTTATAATTTATCTATTGAGAGTTCCTTATGGATACTTCTGTACATCTTTATATATATATATAAGCGGTAAAGTGTGTGTCGGTGATAGTTTATTGTTGCCACTGAGAAAAATGAGCGCGGAAATTAACGTTTATGCAGTTTTTAATTAATATCTCGGCCGATTAAAGTCGTACGAAGATGAGAACGGTATCGATGAATTCGGAGAAATTTTTGAAATCCGAAGATACAAGCCTCGAATTTCAACTCGGCGCCATCCCGTAGATATTAGAGAAAAGAGAATTTGTCATGTAGCCAAATCCCTCTAATAGGGAAAACCCAAGAAAAAAGTGGAAAATGTAGGGAAAACATAAGGGCAAATTAGTTTTTAAATAATATCTCAGCTAATTAAAGTCCCACGAAGATGCGAATGGTCAAAACGGCGTGCCACGGACCTGCGGAATCCAACGGTTTGCTTCGCTAAGCCCGGGAGCCAGCCGTTTCGGAGGAGATGTTACTTCTCCCCATATATATATATGGGGCTTAAGTGTCTGTTCGTCGCCGATAGTTTATTGGTTG